TTTCTCTTCTGGAGTTTAAATTTTAGTGAGTAAATGCATGGACATAAGGGAAGGGATGGCACTATCTGGTTCTGCAGCTTACTATCTTAACAGAGGGATTAGTGGTTCTGGTTCTACTGTAGGTAGTGGGTCTGGGACACCTACAGGGGTACCTACCCCATCTGGTTACAAGTCTCTTACAAATGCTAACATTGCAGTTCAATCCAATATGGGGAGTAGTAGTGGTAATGTGAACTCAGGATACCAAGTTGAGAACTCATCATCCAATTTTGGTCATGGGGTTAACATTAGTATGGCTTCTAGTGTTTCACCTGGTAGTGATCCAGTGAAAAAGAAGAGAGGTAGGCCTAGGAAATATGGTCCTGATGGGACCAACATGTCTTTAGCATTGTCCCCTTTGTCTAGTAACCTTCCAAGTGGGTCCATTACCCCCGGGCCAAAGCGTATCAGGGGCCGGCCTCCCGGAAGTGGGTGGAAGCAACAATTATCTTCTGTTGGTGAGTTATGACGATTTGAACATGAGTGGGTTTATTGAATTTCATCAATGTGTAACTTGAATGCTGTTTGTTGTCTCCTACTATCTTGCTTGATAGTGTTTTTAAGTTGTTGGCTAACTAAAACTTAGTGTTTTTCTATCTCTTTGTTATACTCACTATTATGTTGATGCTGCATTTATGAGGCGGTATATGGCATTCATGTTACATTTTTATCAGGTGACCGGCGTTCTTATTAATGTGCTTCACTAGTTTTGAGTTCTTGGTTCTGTCTAAGTATGCTTAGTGGTGTTGCCTGTCATCCAGAATCAGAGCTAATAGTCTGAATCTTGTTAACATTTAGAAGAGAGAAGATATTTTATGCAGATTCACTTCTATTTAGTTAGAAAAACTTGTTCTAATGTGGCATAAATTGATTTGCTTGAATTGCTTGGATCTGTTAAACTTGCCATCATGTTGATGGCTTCATATCACATAATAATGATATTGAACTTCCCCTTCTTGAGGTTAGGCCCCATCTAGGCCCCATCAACTCTCGGTAGGGAGGATGGAGGTGTTGGGGTTGGTGGGGATGTTCTCTCTAATATTTCCAATCATGTTGGTTAATTTATCTCTCAATTGGAGTTTGTAACTCACAATATATCCTATTATTTGGTTGTAGTTTCTGAAGATTGAATTGCTTGCTGTAGGTGAATGGATGAGTAGTTCGGCTGGACTGGCTTTCACTCCTCATATTATACACATTGGTGTAGGAGAGGTATTGCATTCAACACATTTTGTATGTATAATCTTTTCCTTTCATTGATAATTACGGGTAACTTTGTATGTATGATTTTTTTTTTCTTTTTTGATGAAGTACTAAAACGATTGTCTTTAGCGTATGACCGAAGTATTTTTTTTTATCACATTCCCTTTTTTGACCTGACTGTACTAAATCTTTCTCACAATAAATCTGTCACATGGATGAAAGGGAATCAAACTGTAATGTTGATATGTGATTTTTGTTATGTGACAAACACAATTGAAGTAAATGCTGTGTGTTTTTCTTTACGACTCATTCCATTGGTGGGAACTTAGTCGAGGTGATGCGAACAAGCAAAGAAGTACTTTTGGTAACTGAGACGGAACATTGTTGGGAAGGTTCTCCCACAATGTTACTTCAGAGGGAAGAGCTTTTTTAAATGTGAAAAAATATGATTTGACTGATGTTCCATCTTAAACCATATGCTTAAACATTCTATGTCATCGAGTTTTGTAACCTGTATTTTGTTTTGCTTGATGCGAAATTCAAACACTCTCCTTAAACTTTGCAGGATGTTGCAGAAAAATTGTTGGCATTTGCACAGCAGAGGCCTAGGGCTTTATGTATCTTATCAGCTAATGGTGCAGTTTCAGCTATAACATTACGCCCCCCTGCCAATTCTGGTGCCACTGTTACTTATGAGGTTAGACTTCATTTGATATTTTGTGATTTACTTAGACTTGAAGAGCTGATAATTCCAGTAAGAAAGTAATGGGGAGATCTTAGACTGGGATTTTATATAAAGTATTCACCCTTAGAGATCCTTATCAAGATCATGGGAAAGTGAAGAGCTGATAAATATCAGTAGGTGAGATATTTGAAATTTAAAAAATAGTAGTAAATAAAATGTTGCATGTGCTTGATCAAAACTTGTTGAAACCGTGGAAGATGCTCTGCATATTTACTTCTTAAATGCTGCGATATTGAAACATAGTTTCTCTGTTGACTAGCTTTTATATTATTGCCTCCTTATTCTCCCTTTTTGGAAGTTTTTTTTTTTTGATAACTGAGAAATCCGTTTGTGACCCGTCCTTTGGACCAATCACAGCCTTCTAAACTCGGTGGATGATGGGCCCGCCCCTCTACCCTTCTCCACTTAAATACCGGGCTTCGCTTTGCATGGTGTGGGGATTGAACCTGCGACGTAAGCCACAAATCCTCCGCCTTTTGCCACTCGAGCTATGCCTTGGGGGCCTTTTTGGAAGTTAACTTTACTTGGATCATTGCATCTTCCCCACCCTTAATTGCCCACTGGGTTTTATTTTAGGGGTAATAAAGAGAAAAAAGGAGGTGGATGGGGCTCTTTGCTTTGTAGGTGTTACTTAGGAGCTTTAAGCTTCTTCTGAAAATTCCTGACTGTTGATATGCGATTAGGAGAGATCACAGATACCCTGCAATTTTAATAGTCACTAGCCGGTGGTTCTCTCGGAGTATCACACTAATGATGTCTGGTTGTGATTTGTGACCGACAATTTGCAATTGGTAGAGACATTTTTTTTATAACCGTGGTTTTGGCCAACTTGTGTGCACCTCAACTAATTCCACAGGATACCTGCCACCTCCCACCAGCAGCAGGTTACTCCTTTGTCCACAGAGGTTAGGATAGTTGGGAAGAAATCACCTTGTGTTTTTGTCTCCATTGGGATTTGAATCTGACCTGATGGTTGTCAACACACTTTCATGGTTGAGAAATTTTCATAAGCTTGTCTAAAACAAAGCACTAAATTGTTGTAATTGGGGTCCAGGACCTTTCAACTATTTTAAGAACGATATAGATTGTGTATTAATTCAATAGAATAAATTCAGGTGATGCTTATGATTATTTTGCAATGACTTGTGTTTATCAAAGGTAGGAGTAAGGTCTATGTACATCCTACCCTCCCTAGATCCCACTTGTGGGACCACACTAGGTATTCTTGTTGTCTTGTGTGTATCAGACTTATCTCTCGGAAACCAAAAAAAGAACTTGCTATGTTTTCAATGATCTATGCATAATGATCCGTTGGTATGCCCTAGAACACAATTAGAATCTGTGCTGCATCAATTCCACTTAAAATGATAGTATAAGATCCATTATCCATATCGTCCTTTCAAGATTGTTTATTTCTCTTCGTTACAATGGTTAAAATTCTACTTACAGAAACAAGAACTGTGATTTTTAGATTGGAGAGAAACATTGTTATTTTTTAATGGAGAACTAAAAAAACATGGATATGAATAGAAGATTTAAACATTTGATGCTGCAAATCTAACAATTTTAGCAACTTCTTCGACATATTAGTCAATATAATAATCATATACCAAGGACTGATAACTTAATGGAGTACTTGCATACTAAATTTGTTACCTTCTGAAAAAATAAAAAATGGAGTACCCATGACTCGAGAACCTTAACCTCCAAGAAATTGTTTGGTTTTACTAATTAGCATGCTATATGTTATAGCATTCCCCAATTTAGGGTAACTTACCTCTCCAGTCCTCTTTTCATTATAGTAAAAAAGTTTCCACATGTATCATGAGAACTACATGTTTCCTATTCTATGCAGGGCCGTTTCGAGATACTATGTCTGTCTGGTTCTTACTTGGTTGCTGAAACTGGTGGCCCACGCACTCGCACTGGTGGTATAAGTATCTCAGTTTGTAGTCCTGATGGCCATGTAATTGGAGGTGCTGTAGGGGGTAGACTTATAGCAGCCAGCCCTGTTCAGGTACTTGTTTTATGCTTGTTTTATCTCTAGCTTGTAGATCAGATATTTGTCATCTGTTTTCTGGTGTAACAAGCAAATGAATAATATTTGCTGCAGGTAGTCGTATGCAGCTTTGTCTATGATCCAAAGGGAAAGAGCAAACCAGAAAGTAGCACTAGAGACGAGCAGGAGTCTGCTGAAAAGTCATCTACACCAGTCAGTGCCACTCTGAATCAAGGTCCTACTTCAGGGTCTGGTCGGGGTGTTTGGCCTCCAACTTCCCGAACAGATGTGAGAAATTCCCAGACCGAGATTGACCTGACGCGTGGATGACACAATTCGCTGCAATGCATACATGAGGAGTTTGTATATATGTGCTATTGTAAATGAAACGCGCCAGGGGATCAAGCTCCACGATTTAACTCTCTGCCCATTAGTAGATGATGGATTATGCTAACTTGGGTAACAAAATTCTCCTTTTTAGGTACTGTTTAGTGGTAAGGTAGAGGATGATATGGTTGTTACAAGTAAAATTATTGCTTCTTTAGAAGTGCTTTTGGTCTCTTTTCTGTTGTAACTTAGAATATTTTTGATTTTTCGGACAAATCAACAGGCCAAACATAAGTTCCCCTTTTGCCTCCATGTTCTGAAGGTAAGTTATTTTCATTCCATTTTGGCTAGCAATATGTTGATGTCTTCTCTCCCCTATCGTAAATTGGGGGGGAGGGGGGTAGGGGATGATGTTATGGTCGTTTTGCTTCTAGAGATCAGATTTCCGTATACAATTGACACTGAAAGGGATCTATATTTGTTGTTGTGATTACATAATGAAGTAGAAAAGAACATCTGTTCCATTGGGATATGCAGGGTAGTTATTGTACCAAGGGAACTAGTGATGATTTAAGATCGTTTTTTCTTTTACAAAGTAGAGTGACAAAGGACTGAATCTCAGTGGATCGTGTCAGACTGATAGTGATGCCACTCTGTCACTTATAACACCGATGATATCAAGATTCATTATTCAGACCAGAAGATTTCAGGCCAATCCCAGTCTTTTTTAGGAACATGTAAAGCTTTCCACACTGCTTCAGAAGCATCAACAATGTTATTCTGGCAAGGTGGAAGGTATGCATGTGGAGAATCACACCCTCTACCTGAGTCACATTCATCAACAACCATAGCTTTCACACTCCTCCCATTCGTGTGGATGGTAATGTTCTCAAAACGTCTCCCTTTACTGTACCACCCCGTGGACAGAGCCACCACGGGGACAGAGTTGTGGTAGTACTTACCACTACATTCTGATGGACAACCACCATCACCCCCTTTGTCAAAGTTGTTGATGGTTAGAATTGCCTTCGTGTGACCGGAAACTGGAGGTGAACATTTGTAAGTAGTGTAAAATTTTCCTTCTTTACAACATTCATCACTAGGGCTACAGAACAAAATGTAAATAGTGGTGGTCATGTAAATGCAAATAATGGAACACAATTGAGAAACAAATTATTAAGAAAACAAAGGGACAAAGAACAATAACAATGACTACAGAACTCTCCTTGGAAAATTGTCCAAGACATAAAGAGTGAAAATCTTTGGTATGTAAGTAAAAACAAATTATCCTAAAACTATAGTATATAATTTAGACAAATGCTACGAGAGGTGGGGGTGTGGGGGCCTATCGAGGTGGAATTAAGACGAGGTGTGTTGAAAGGTGGAGATGACACAATCAATGTAGAATGCACTTGTGGAGCTTGTAGTCTCACTAGAAAGTCATTTCCCTTTTTAAGAAACTTGTTTTCCTAGAAAAATGTTTTCAAAATTTTTTGACTAACTGAACATGAAAAAATTGGAAAACATTTTCTACCGAACACACCCTTTAAAAAAATAATAATAAATACGGCATATATTAGAACAAGTTACAATAACAACATACGCAATGTAATCCCACAAGTAAAGTTTAAAAAAAATAGATCGTATGCAGACTTTAGCCCTAACTCCTAACTCGATAAAGAGATTATTTTCAAAAGACCATCGTCTCAAATACAACGTATTAAAACCAGTAAAATATTCAAAATGTCACATCCTCAACACAAACAACAGAGTTGCAACTTATTTTACTCATAGAATACTAATTAGTTTTATCTAATAAAACCAAAACTTTCTTAAAATTCCTCTCCGCATTGTTATTTTTCTTGTGATGTTACTTTATTACTTTTACCCCGTTATGTTCAATGGTTTGGATATACATTACCAACTCTACTTACATTCCAAGTATTGTTAGGTGGCAAATTCTTCTATAAATATCAAAGCAATTCTATCAACTCTTCACCAAAAAAATCAACAAAAAAATAACATCAAGTTGAAAAAATATGAAAAAAGCAATTCTAGGTCATGTTGTTACTTTCTTGATTTTTATTTTCATGGCTTCTAGTAACATATTAATTGTTGAAGCTCAAAAGCACAATGGTCATATGAAGGCAATTTTAACAATTAATGATTTTTCAAAAGGTGGTGGTGGAGGTGGACCATCAGAATGTAGTGGTAAATATTACCATAATTCAATTCCAATAGTGGCTTTATCAACTAGATGGTACAATAAAGGGAAAAGATGTTTTGACAAAATTACAATTTATGCAAATGGAAAGAGTACAAAAGCTATGGTTGTTGATGAATGTGACACAAGTAGAGGCTGTAAAAATAATATTGTTGATGCTTCTGAAGCTGTGTGGAAAAAACTAGGTGTTCCAAAAAAGGATTGGGGTTGGCTCGAAGTTCAGTGGTCTGACTAATTCAGTTTCGTGGTACATTACAAGGATTTATACATACAGTCTTCATCCTTGGCTTTCATTTCGATACAACAATAAGTATCATTGTCTGAGTCAGCTATCATAATAATAAGAACGATTACCTATCGTTATCTTTTAAATAACATGATAGTGTAAGGTATAAATACAATAATAGTACTGGCTACTTTTCTTGCTTCTCAGAGATTTGTGTATATGCACAGCTGTTTAAAATGATGAAAGTGTTTGTCTTTACTAGCAATCTTTTTACCAAATGTTGGGGAAAAAAAAAACTTAAAGTTTAATACTTGTAAATAGAAATATTCAGTATATTGAAATTGTACAAGTAGCAAACATAGTACTAGGTAAAACAAGAAGAAAATTACATCAAACATAGAACTTATTTGCTATGATATGTTCCATTATTTCTAGCACAAAATGCAGAAACAGCGAGGAGTCCAGACTCCGGAGCTTAAGCAACCCCCAAGAGTTTCTTGATATCCTTCTGCAGAAATACAAAGAGAGTGTTTGGTCTTGTTAGCTATATTGTCAGTTGAACAGTGATAGAGTAAGGAAGATTATCATAGGCCAGGACACCGGATTCTTACCTCCATGCTAGCTGGAGTAGTTGTTGGAGAGTAGCGATCAACGACGTGTCCTTCTTTGTCAATGAGGAATTTGGAGAAGTTCCACTTGATACCATCTCCAAAGAACCCACCTTTGCTTGATTTCAGAAACTTATACAATGGAGCAGCATTATCGCCATTCACGTCAACCTAGACCAGACATAAAAAACACGAAGATGTTGGTACACATACTGATTGCTTCATCTATTTTCAGTTTCAGCTCTAATGTAGATGACTAGAAGAGAAGAATGTTTGTGCTATTGCTACCTTATCAAATATGGGGTACTCGGCCTTGAAGCGAGTGCAGACCATTTGCTGGATATCTTCAATGCTTCCAGGCTCCTGTCCACCAAACTGGTTGCAAGGGAAGGCCAGAATCTCCAAACCTGTGTAACAGGAAGAACATATTATTAACAAACTAAATTAGGTATAAACATCCATTGTATTTAAGTTCTCTTTGCAGAATTATGTCAGGATAAGCGCCTCCATTGCTGAGGAATTGATAGCACAGATTTGAGTTTAGGAGAATTGAACAAACCTTGATCCTTGTATTTATTGTACAACTCCGTCATGTCAGTGTAGTTCGAATTAGTCAGGCCACTGCATCAGAAAATGGAATCAGTTTACACTCATAAGCAAATGTTAAACAAGATCACAGAATGATATCATAAATACAACAAATAACTGTTCGAATCTTTCAGAGTAAATGCAATGAGATCAAATTACAAAGAAATGAACAAGACATTCTATCCGGATATGCACAATCACTTGTCATTAGTGGTACTAAGAACACGTTGGTTGAGTCAGTGTCCTTGGACCAAGCATAGCAAGAATGTTTACTCAGGCACGAGTAGAATAATGTCAATACTCAATTTCTCGTAGATTCAGTTTTTTTTATAAAATGCATAGTATTTTCATCACGGGGAGGAACGCCCTAGCCAATGTAAGATAAGGTTCAAGTTTAACACTTCTTTACTTTCAGTCAATTCTATGGAGAGCAACACATGAAAACTTCACTAATTACAAGGAGCAAAAACCGATGATCATTTCTCTCGTCAAAAGTTCCCACTGAAATCCGGAAAATTGCGATAGAGGCTTCGAACATATAATGAATAAAATAACTATGAAACTAATACATACCACTGTGATGCAACATTGACAATGATAAGGACTTTTCCCTTGTAAATACTGAGATCAACGTCCTTGCCCTTAGCATCCTGTAAAGAACAAAAAGAACTTCAATTATCCAAGATTTTATTCAGGTTATAGCTCAAACAGTATAATCCCAAAAAAGAGTTACTCTCAATCAATACTGTATTTATCAATATCAAAACAGACCAATACCAAAACTTTTTGACAATAAAGAAATGGAAACAAGCCCCAAGTTTAGATAACAAATGCAGCAACAAGCCTTAGTTTGCTGCTAGCACCAAGTTGATACCATATATCACAAGTCACACCCTCTGCTTATCTTTTTTTTTCCCTTTCTGATTAGTCAAAATCATTTGCACTAATAGCACTTAGATGGTTGGAAAGTGTATTCAATACAATATGCTTGTGTACATCAACCACATTCATTTAACAAGTTAAACCCAGCTACCTACACAGCATAGGCATCTCTCTTTACACCCTAAAGATAAAGTGAATAAAAAAGACTGATATTTTACACTGTTTGCTTATCTTGTCAATTCAAATTTATACAAACCAATAAAGCAAAGGCTAATAAGTTGAAAACAACTCCTCAGAACTTAAAGCCCCAAATCTCTAATTGCAAAAAACAAAAGGCAAGCCAATGCACTAAGCTCCAGCTCGGAGAAGGGCCGGACCACAAGGGTCTATTGTACACAGCCTTAACGTGCATTTTCACAAAAGGCTGTTTCTAAGGCTCAAACCCATGAGTCATGACAATAACCAAGAAACTAAACAAAAGCATAAATAAATGAGCCACCTTTAACACAAAAGAAAACAAAAATGAATAATCTTTCACATTCTTAGCTTATGTTACTGATTCATAACCAAAATAAAACCAAATTTCATTCACCCACTAACCCAAAAATTGATAAAAACCACTGATCTTTCACATTCTTTGCTTATGTTAGTGATTCATAACCAATATAAAACCAAATTTCAATCACCCACCAACCCAAAAATTGATTAAAAAAAATCACCCCACACAACTCAATTTCCTAATCCAAACACTAACAAAACAAACAAAAACAACATTCTTTCTAAACCAATCAGTCAAAATAAGCAAAATTGAACAATTTAGAAAAAACCCAAATCAAAATAAGCAAAAGTTCTAACCTTGACAGTGAAATCATAAACAGATTGAGGATTGCTGGATTGACTAGCCATGGTATGATCTGATCTTAAACCCCACAACTCAAAACCCTTAGAGGTAACAGAAGAATTGGGAAAAACTGTTCGGATCGGCCTTGAGAAAGACGAAACAGGAAGATTAAACACAGAATTGAACTGGGTTTGTCTTAGAATCGAAGAAAATCGCCTTAGAAAACTGAGATTTTGCTTTGGGATGAGAAGAACACGAGCTGTAGAACAAAGCATTTATAGCTAAATTATTTTGGAAGGCCAATAATAACATCGTGTGTTCTGTATTTAGATATGGAGGACACGCTTTTACACGTGGCAGGAAAATAAAGAGACACGTGGCATAATATAAGGCTAACACGTTGTGAACTTTCATATGATAATTTAAAAAAAAATAATATTATTATTATTTTTATATATCTAGATCAATATGAATTTTTGTTATAATTATATGTGTTTTTTATTCAGTTCTATTTTTCTTTTTTCTTTGGATTTTGAGGGTGAGTTGCTAATTCTAACATCATTTATAAGGAGTTGGACGATGAAGCCTTAGATGTGTCCGATGTTACTTTTTCAGACAATTAAAAGCAAATATTGCCTCTTATGCTTTTATAAATTAAATTTAAATATTCTTAACAAAAAAATTTATTTGATACAACAAAATCTTTTATTCTATTTGTTTAGACTAGATGATTTGAATTTATTTATATTTACTCACGTAAGCAATGATGTGAAGGTATATGCTAATGAACAAATGTATATGAAACCATATTATAAAAGTTGTGCATGTAGGGTCTACTTGTCCAATTGTTTTCATTTTTTTTAGTCAAAGTTGTGCTTTTTGTTTGTAACTTAATAGATAAATCTTCTGGAAAATTATAGAAGATTCCAACAAAAGAACATTTAAGACACTAAAGATAAGCTCGTTTGGATTGACTTAAAAGTTGGTAAAATCTATTTTTAAATTAGTTTTTGATTTTTAGAAGTGATTGACAAATATAAAAAATAAGTTGAGTCTTCTTTTTCCACTTGTTCAGACTATATGGATAGAGTTATATATTTATATTGTCCAAAAATTCATTTCATTTCAACAATTGAGAAATAGATTATTAGAAAATTAGAATTGATCTTATAAATAATAACTATGTGTTTAGGGATAATAAATAGTTGATGTGTTTGATAATAAAATATTCTAATAGTTAACATGACTAAGTTGTCCATAAAAAATACTCCCTCCGTTTCACAAAGAATGACCTCCTTTCCTTTTTAGTCAGTTTAAAAAAAATGACCTCTTTCCTTTTTTGGTAACATTTTACTTTTTGTTTTCCACGTGGCATGTTTAAGACCACAAGATTAAGGACAATTTTGTACATTTAACATAACTTTAATTTAGGACCACAAGATTCAAAAGTCTTCTTTAATTTCTTAAACTTCGTGCCAAGTCAAACCAGACCAATCTTTTTGAAACGGAGGGAGTATTTACAAAAATTACATAGTAAGAGTCTCTTTATAAAGAGATTTAAGGATGGACGGAATTAACTAACAGATGAGTCCTCTTTGAACAACATAAGATAGTTGTAGTCGTTCGTCATACAACTCACCAACTTAACTTGCCTCTTTGAAAGGCTCGCTCTGAGCAAGTTCAGATCACTTACAATACACAAACTCTACAAAAGAAGGGATTGGATTAGGAGCCGTTTCAATATGATGTCAAGAAATGTAGAAAGTGGTGACCATGTAAAGTGAACTATATTACAATTCCACTTTTTTTTCCTAATACAAAAAGTATGATACATATAACAAGTCATAATTCCAATTTGTTCAATCTTTGAAACAAATTGTTTATAGTTATTGAAAATGCATCTTGAAATTTGTCTAGCTTAGATTTTGGATCTCCATATACTAATCCAGGTAACAACTCATATACTATGTAACTTCTCATGTTCTCTTTTTCTTTTGTTGGAATTTGCATAAGCCTCTCCACAACATTGACTTTCATTTTCCTCACATCTTCTTGATCTATGAAAACTGAGTACTTGTTATGATCTTGTGGTAAATGCCATGAATATTGATAGTATGCTGTAAAGGGATCAAAGATTACAGGTATACAACCTGATATCAACGAATCGAAAACTGATTTTCTTGTTGGACTGTCCCCTGGAGGCTGCAAACAGAATTCAGATTCCATGAAGAGTTCTATTATTGACTCAGGCTGATTGCAGCCACCTGAATTGCAGTCCAAGAATCTACATTCTTGATCTTTGGTTGATGTGCATTGGTTGATCAAGATTGACCTTATGTTTTCTGGTGCATCAGGCCTTGCTGCACCAGCAAAGGACACTATGCTTTTTCGATTTGACTTGATGATTCTGTCCTGCCACGCGATTATGTCATTGTCTGATTGTGGATGGAAATAAGTAGGATGTGGTATTCCTATGTCGTTAACGTGCCATGGTTGTCGTTCAATCAAGAGTTTAACCGGATTCTGCATTTCGTCTAGCTCCAAGAACCTACTCCCCCATATGGTGTCACCAGATCTTCTGAAGTCCCATGAAATTTTACCTAAAACAAAGACATGATCATTACCTGATTTTTGAAACCAATGCTTCTGTGACTCTAACCATCTTACAAGTTCTACTCCCAACGAGTCCTTGATATCGTTGGATACATTCTTGAAATGCCATCTCAAGACATCAAGTCCACCATAAAATGGCACATAAAACAGTTTTGCTTCATCTGCATTGTGAACTCTGCAAGGATGATTCAGAACGCGCGAATGAAATATCAGCTCTAGTGAATACTGATGTGTCTGGTACCATCCTTTGCCAAGATTCTGTATTGGTTCGCCCATTGCATCGTTGCTGAAGTACTTGCAGAGGTTGACCCAAGGATATATATCTGCACATTGAGCTACCAAGTCTTTGTTGAACTTTGTTGGTAAATCATACACATAGATTCCCCTGCCATCACACGTTGCATTATTATTGCTCGTTGCTGCCCATGAACGATGAACCTGCAATTGATCCTCCACGTAATTATAAGCGATCACTAGTTCCTCATCACCACTTTTAACCATGTTGTTTCTGAAAGAAACATTTTTGTTTCCTGCAAATGAATCAACAGATGTTGTACTTTCTTGTTTTGCAGTAGGAATGGGTGTGGAACTATCATTCACACGCGGAATAGCTATGTCAAGAGGACTAGATTCTTGTAGTGAAACATCAACAACATTTGACATAGTATCAATTGATGTGAAACTATCATTGACACGCGGAATTGAGATGTCAAGAGGACTAGAAACATCAACAACATTTGACACAGTATCAATTGATGTGAAACTATCATTGACACGCGGACTTGGGATGTCAAGAGGACTAGAAACATCAACAACAGTTGAGGTGGAACTATCATTGACACGCGGAGTTGGGATGTCAAGAGGACTATAATTTTGTACTGAACCATCAACCACATTTGACATAGTATCAATTGATGTGGAACTATCATTGAAACGCAAAATTGGGATTTCAAGAGGACTAGATTTTTGTACTGAAACATCAACAACATTTGACATGGTATCATTTGATGTGAAACTTTCATCGACTATTGCTGTTCCAGTGTCTTGAAGAGTATATTCTCTTGACGCGATATCCTTCTGATCAACAAAAACAGAAGGAGAAGTACCATTGAGAGAAGAAATCGCGGTATCAAGATGTGGTTCAGTGCCAGCAGAAATGCAATAAAGATCATTGAGTTTACGCGATGAGATGCAAACATGTACTACTTTACCAGAAATAATAGTAGTAGAAGAAGACCATATGAAGATAAGAATCAAGACAAGGACTATAGATGGAATTCTAAACAAAAATTTAGCTAAAAATGAAGAAAAAAAGAAACTTTCTTCTTTATGTTCAACTTTTTTGTTAATCTTAGCTTTTTTCTTTGAAACAGAAATTGCCATTTTGATGGCTAACAATAAAATTCTCTTGATCTTCATCTTCTTTTCTACTATGGTGGATATTTTTTGTTGTGCCATAACATGGTAGCACGTACTAAGATGAAGCAAAAAATGTCACAATATTTGCAGGCACGTTTATATGTTACATTGTACTTGCATGTATTAGAAGGAATTAACAAATAAAAAGTCAATGTATCCATTTTTATATATTGTTCATATTATTTAACTAGTGGTTAGAGAATTTTGTTTACCAAACTCTGAACATAATATCCATGAAATATGTTCTTGACGTGCTGATTCATTAAAAAATAAGTGATAAGAATAGAGTTTGTTATACATAAAGACGTAGACATGGCATGGCGATTTATTAATTGTCCTTGGAAAAAAAAAGAGAGATAGGTCAAAATCACTTTTTTTCAGTGACATATCTAACCAGATTGAATAGGATTTGAAGAGTTGTTAGTGTGATTGTTCAGACAAAGGGTGCACTGACTCGGCCTATGATAACTTTGAGTTCACCTAGAGGATTCTAGACTTAAATTGTGTGTCTAGGTGAGCATGTTCTAATGGGTAAATTATAGTATATTGTGTAAAGTGATGATTGTTCATGAATTGACTAGTTTTACGATTCTTCCAAATATTCCCACACAAGTTGTTAGCAATAAGCAAGACAAATACAACATTTCCCCCAATATGGGATATTGATTAGGCATGTGCATTGATTACAAATAACAATTATATAAATATTCCAACAAGTTGCACCAGTGGTCTAGTGGTAGAATAGTACCCTGCCACGGTACAGACCCGGGTTCGATTCCCGGCTGGTGCATGCATTTGAGAGCAATGATATTAACTTGCACAATATGTGAACGATTGGGTCGTCACACACATCTGATTCAGGATGAAATGTCGTGCATCTGAGCTCTCTTTTTTCTTTTGCCCTCTACGTGATGGGTCGATGATGGAATAAATTGAGCTTAGATTGTAAAACATGATCATTGAGGATTCATACAACCGATGTGAACGATTGGGTCGTCACACACATCTGATTCAGGATGAAATGTCGTGCATTTGAGCTCTTTTTTCTTTTGCCCTCTACGTGATGGGTCGATGATGGAATAAATTGAGCTTAGATTGTAAAACATGATCATTGAGGATTCATACAACCGACTTCAACTTGTTTGGTATAAATTTGCAAACTCTAACTTAGTCCTTTAAATCCTTGATCTGTCTTGTAACCAACTTCTCTAGTGCCACAATGGGAGTTCCCACCATGATTTCCCCTATTTTCTGTTGACAGTGTGAAACACAAACACAAAAGTACATTCATATAGTGACCCAAAAACAGCTACATCAATTCTCCCATCACACATTTGTTTGTTCATAATCATGATCATATACATAATTAGTAGCAGTTACTATATAGAGTTGCATAATATTCAGAGTCAATCGACTACAATGAATATGAAACTTGATTTAAAGTTAGCTCTTGGATACAAACATGACACTAAAGAGGTGAAGAATTTAGGAGAAAAATAAACACAACTAGTGCGAGCTAAGTAACACTGTTCCAGGTCCTGAATTTCAACAATTTCTACCACTTGTACAAACCGACGAATAAATTTAATGATCCGTGGATCAAGCCAAGTTGATGCCACCTGATTGTGACCGTGACTCATAGAAGAGTCTTACAGTTGAGTAGATGAGAGAAGGTTCAGCCATAGCGCCGTTTCCATAATCTCCACAAGCTAGTCTTTTAGAAACTGGTGGTATGAGAGAGATTCCAAGCTCATCAATTACCATAAGGTGTCGTTCTGTGAATGGATTATTCCACATCAATGTATTCATGGCTGGTGCCACAAAAAGGGGTTTATTGTAGTCCCATGCTCGTACGATGCAGGTTAACAAGTTATCACATAGTCCACCTGCAATCTACAGTACATAAGACATATATCAGCTTAATTGCAAAGTAGATCGCAATATAAGTAACACTACAAATTCTTTTTTATGATGTAGGGAATTGAATTGGTGTCTTTCTTGACGTTAACCTTCTAGCATGGACATGTTCAATTAGTATGTTTAACATTGTAGATAGTCCATTTTATAAAGATCAATTAGTACTAGGATAAGGGAATAAATTGTGTTTTTGAGGCAGAATGAGTGTTATCATAAAACAAAATTTCAGGAATAAAACATGGAATGATACATCACCTTCCCAAGTGTGTTTGCTGACAAAGGGGCAATAACCATAATATCAGCCCACCTGCGGAGCTCAATGTGTAGCACACTATCACCAATTTTCTTCCAAGTGGACCATTCCTCCTCATCAGTATATAGAATGACATCTTCCGGAAGTGAAGCTTTGTCTATGAAATGAAGAGAAGGTTTTGTTGCAACTGCTTTAACTTCTGCCCATTCAGAAAAACAACGACATAGATTTGCAAACTTAATTGCAGCCACACTTCCACTTGCTGCCAGCAGAATACGAGGTCTCCTAGGTGCGCCATTAATCTGACCCGGTTCCATATCTGAAGTCATCTACCTAACTTGTGAAACATAAAAAATAAGGATTCTTTACTGCACCAATGGAAAGATACAAGTAACTGTACATGCATGCAATTAAGGGGAATGTCAGCAGTAGATAAGAAAGAGATTCCCCCCTGGCAACTTGCTTCACAATCATAACCCTTTGGACTTAGCTCACCCTAGGTGTGGTCAAATCCATGCTTAACTTAATTTCTCGAACCCATGTTAGCCTTTAATCTTCACAAAAAAGTATCAAAAACAGTTGGCCACCAGCTGATCAGCTGATGTAGATTCAAGAATTTGAACTTTGACTTGCTCACTGGCCATGTAGCTCCACCGAACTGGTTAATTGGTCCTTAATTCGCTAAATTGGTTTGCTGGTCTTTCATTCTGCTGAAATAACCCTCAGCTTGAGTAAACTAACCTAAGCTCAGCTATTTTTTTTATTTTTTTTGCCTAGGTCAGATCGGCTAATTTTCTTCTGTAAGTTCGAACTGATGTGCATCAGTTCCCATTTTTGTAGATAACTAGTTGTGGACCAAGTCATTGACCGTAACAACCTTCTATAGACTTGATCAAACGCTGTAACTTTCCTTCCATCACGATAACTAGATTTCTCATCTTAGAAGGTGATTCAAACTTTTCTTGAGGCTTCATGGATTGGATCCAAGTATCACCATCAGTTTCTTTCGCAAGTGTTATGGGCTTGGCAAATACTTTGTGATGAACTATAGCTCAAAAGGCTAATTCTGGAAACCGTACTTGAATTTCAGGGACCAATTTCTTCTAGTCCAAGTCCATGATAAAATTTCGGCATGGACCATTGTTTATCAAATCAATGTGTTTCCTTTTATTACCTTTTCTTTTTTTAAGAAAAGAACAAGTTTTCAAAAACACCCACCCCAACACATTAGGATATGAGCAGGCGAAAGGACAGCACCGACTGGGGAAAAAAAGGACAGGACCCATCCATAATATGTAGAGAGTCTAATAAAATAGTCATTGAGAAAGAGAAAATCAATATAAACTGATACACTTCCAACTATGCATATTAGGGAAATTGAGAAGGCACATGAGAAAACCTCCCTGCATATGTACTCAAGAATTTGAATTTTCAAGGGATCTGCTTAGTTCAATCAACAATACCTCAAATTCGACTTATTTTGGTCAGGCCATATTTATCATCCATATACTTCTTTGTTGCTTCTTTTATTTTTCATTTATCCAGATAAGGTAGTTTATAAGATGGATCAATGCTAAGCTAGTGCATCAAAAAAGTAGTTACAACTTCTGCAAATCGAAGCAATCATTTCTAACATGGCATCTACATCAAGTACATAGATCAGGTTGCACAAGAAAAATTAGCTCAGTAAGAGCTCTAAATTTAAGACTAAGGGGGGTGTTTGAATTGGCTTTTTTTCAGTGACTTACAAGTTAAAAGCTAAAAGCCATAAGTTGGGAACACCCAACTTTTGGCTTTTGGCTTTTTTTGCTTCTAAACTAAAAAAGTGCTTAAAAGTCAAAAACCACTAAAATAAGCCAATCCAAAGCTCGGACTATGTGTGTGTCAGCTTTGGAAGAGCGGGCCACAAGGGTCTATTGTGGGCAGCCTTACTATGCAAGAGGCTGTTTTTACAGCTAGAATCCATGACCATAGAAATAAGCAAAAGCATAAATGAAAACAAAAAATGAGCGACCTTTACACAAAAGAAAACAGAAATGAGTTATCTTTCACATTCTTTGGTTATGTTGGTGATTCGTATTCGATACAAAAACAAACTTCAATCACTCACTAACCCAAAAACTGATAAAAATCATGCCACGTGACTCAATTTACTAATCCAAAGACTAACAAAAAAACATTCTTACCAAACCAATTAGTCGACATAAGCAAAATTAAATAATTTAGAAAAGAAAAGAAAAACCCCAAATCGAAATAAGCAAATTACTGACCTTCATAGTGAAATCATAAACAGATTGAGGGTTGCTGGATTGACTAGCCATGGTATGATTTGATCTTAAACCCCACAGGCCACAACTCAAAACCCTTGGAGGTAACAAAAGAAGGAGATAAAGAATTGGGAAAAGCTGTTTGGATCGGCTTTGAGAAAGGAGAAATAGGAAGATTAGAGACAGAATTGAAATGTGTTTGGCTAAGAATAGATGAAAATCGCCTTGAAAACTGAGATTTTTGGGATGAGAAGAACACGAGCTGCTGAACAAAGCATTTATAGCAGATTTTTTTTGGAAGATGCTTATAATATCAAAACAATATGTGTGTTCTGTATTTAGAGATGAGGACATGCTTTTACAGGTGTGCTCTAGTTGAACCAGTTCATTTTGACACTAAAAACAATTTGCCATTCAACATAAACAAGTTGTTCTCCTGATCACCATCACCTTTTTTTCCCTACACCATACAAGTTTGAAACCAAATCGCACCCACACCAACACATATATGGAACCAAATCGACACTAAGCTTAGTTCAATGAGATCCAATAGAGATACATATATGAGGTATACTAAATTATATCTTAATTCTGATTACCCCAAACAGGTATTGATTAACCATAACAATTTCCAAACAGATAACATTTCACAAAAGAATGAATTGTTGCCTAATCTTAATCACTATTGAAGCATTTAACATAGCAAAATACGAATTTAAACAAAAAAAATCCAAAATTGAAAAGCTAAAAAAGTAAGAGTGAGACGCTGGGCAGAAAATTTACCTAATTGAGCAAAGGCTTTAATAAATTTATAACCAGAAGTTTAAACACCGAGTGCTTAGCTCACTTGATTGAGATCTGTAACAGAGATAAACAATAGCAGAACCCATGAATTGTAAAATAAAAATAAAAATGAAGAACAGTATGTGGAGAAAGTCAAAAAAGTTGAATTGCTAAGGGGAAAACTAAAGCTTTTCGATGAATTCAGCTTACGTCTTTCGAAACTCACTTGCTCCGGCTTAGTCCGGTGAGGGTGATCGGAATTTGGCGCCGATCAATTGTAGTCTTTCAAAGGGCGGGATAAACAAAGTGAAAAAAAAGTGCTTTAATATCTTTTCCTTAAAAAGGCTTTCTGGCCCAAAACCAATTTGGGCTCAACCCAACAACCAACCTTTATTAGACTATTTTTGGGTGAAATTGAAAGGATCATTCACACATTACGAAAATAGAAAATTATGTAAAGACTTTTCAAAGGAAATTGAAAGGGTCATTCACACATTATGAAACTTGAAAGGTGTATAACAACTTGTCATACTAATTAAATTTTGGAAAAACTACCTAAATTAGACCCATTAGGTAAAATATTTATCAAAATTAGACCGAATCCAAATACCCTCCTCTTTTATTTATTCAATCATTGCTTCTCCATTATTGATACAGTAATTGAACTGACTTTTTATTGGAACACGGTTTGTTTCTAATGGTATTACTGCCTCTTTCTCTTTAATACAATTGTTAGAACATATGATATGAAACAATAAATATGCATTAGTAATTAGCCAGAGGTCTTGGGTTCGAGAGAAAATTCTGTTGGGAGCGTCAATCTCAAATGAGCCCTGCAGAGCGTGATTCAAATTTAGTTGGACTCCAAATACTGAATGAAAAACTAAAATAAAAAATAAAAAATGAGGATATGAAAGTAAAAATAGGAATAGTTTCTTTTTGATACCATACGAGTATTATTTTCCTATTAATCTTTATATTGGGCCGCAGCCTAATTTGACCCGCATTACACCTTCCCCAGTTGACTTGACTGTGGCGCTAAATTCATTCTGAAAATTAGAAAGATGAAGCAGTAGCAGTGGCAGATCATAGAGATGACGCTCAAATTATACGTAGATCGTCGTTCCCATCCTTGTCGTGAAGTTATCATCTTCTGCAAGTAAGCATTTCTTCTTCATCAAGTTAAAACTTCAATCTTTTTTCTAGTTTGAAAGCTCATCATGGAGGTTTTAATCATTAAATGCAGTACTAAAAAACTAAATCTTGGATTCCATGCTTGAATGAATATAAATTTCTTTTTTGTAAGCTCTAAATTTGTGTTTTATTGGCGTATTTTAAAGCCAGTTTGGATTGGCTTATTTCAGAACCAAAATAGTTTTAAAGCACTTTTGTACTCCCTCCGTCCCTATTTACTTGTCCATATTTCCTTTTTTAGTTGTCCCTATTTAGTTGTCCATTTTGACAAATCAAGAAAGGACAACAATTTTTTTCCTATTATACCCTTATTTACACTTCTTGAAAATTGTAAAAGTGTATGTTGTTTCCCTCCAATTTATTTCACTTTAATTCAAATAAGTGGTTGTAATTTTGAAGTGAAAAGTTGTCATAAGGGTAAAATTGTAAGTTCACTGTGCTAATCATTATTGTCTTAATCTGTGTGTCATTTCTAAAGTGGACAACTAAAAAGGGACGGAGGGAGTAGTATTTACGTAAGATAAACACTTGTTTTTAAGTTAAAATAACAAAAATAAGCCAAAAGACATAAACTAGGATTTCTAACTTAGAGTTATGACTTATAAGCCACCACCCAAATGTGCTCTTAGTATTTTGGGCATTTTTCCAGAAGTTTAATGGGATAGGAAGTTTTTTTTTTGTTTCTAAATGGTAACTATGGGCATGTTTGGTTGGGGAACAAGTTATCCACCCTCTATGTGGAATAAAAATCACACTGTAATTCTGGGATAAGTTATCACACGATTTTATCCCAACCAACTAATCCCAGGATTAGTCATCCCTTATCTCTCTTACCAAACGAGACCTAAGTCATGTGTTCGAGTCGTGGAAGTAGGCATTAATGCTTGCATTAGAGTAGGCTCACTACATGACACTCCCGTACCTTGCGTGAACACGGGATGCTTTGTGTACTTGTCTGCCCTTTTTTTTATGCTCTTAAATTTTTTCTAATCACAGCTAAAACGGAGTTTTTAATTCTCCAAATGGAGAAGGGCCAAAAATTCCCCAAAACTATTGGAAATAGAACAAAAATGTAATTCACTTGGTTTTTGGTCCAAAAATGCATTTGAACTATTAGAAATTGAACAAATATGCCCTCGTTGTCAGCAAACTGATTTAGTTATGCCCCTATTCTGTTAATGCATTTCCAGTTTTAAGAAGGGATAGATTGGACCTGGAAGTCTGTTAACGTGATAGAACATAATTGCACAGAATGCTAACAGCAAGGATATTTTTGGACCAAAAACCAAACGGCATGCGTTTCTGTTTTATTTTCAATAATTCATGGGCAATTGTAGCTCTCTCCCTTTTCCAAATAGTTAAGTGGTGAGAAAGTTTCCTTGTTTTATTTGAATTCCAAACTTATAACAGGGTTGCTAATGCTTAACATTATCAGAAAGTTAAATGGGAAGGAAGTTTTCTTGTTCTTCTCAATATCCGTGATTTTGTTTCGAGTTTTGAATCTCAAAATGGAGCTTTTAATGATAATTTTCCAACAGGTTAAATGGAATAGACTTTGAGGAGGTCCACATAGATCTCTCCAAAAGGCAGCACTTGACTCCTGAATTCAAAGGTTTGTCCCTTCATAAACTCTATATTTCCCGGGAAAAAGGGGTTGATTTATTATTTGTTTCTTAATTTCAAGATTATTTCATGAGTTTCATGTGAATTCATCTTCAGAGGTCAATCCAATGAAGCAAATACCAGCTATAATGGATGGAAAATTCAAGCTTTCTGAAAGGTAAATTTCAGCTTGCACCGAAAAATTTGTATTTTCCTTATTGCAACTTTGTCAATGCCTTTTTTTAGCTGTATATGCTGCATTCATCCTAATCTTCATATCTAGTCATGTAGAAGTTCGTAGTTTGATGTGTTCGCCTGTGCATATGTACTACAAGAAGCAAAATTAGAAAATTCTCATACAATTAAGTTTAGAATGTTGATAAAGTTTATATGTGGTGTGTGCTAGCCCCACGCGGGCACAAGTGACTACTGTGGTGTGGATATGCCGGTGGAGACAAGACTATGTTAAATATTTTTTTCCTGGTGATGTAAGATTGGACTTCTTACTTTTGACCTTTTACTGAGTTTAAGATAAAGTAATTTATTACTTGGATAACGTTTAAAAGCTATCTAACCAATTTTATTTGGTTGCAGTCATGCAATTGTTAAGTATCTGGCTTGTGCATTTCCAGGAATTGCAGATCATTGGTAAGTGCAGCAATTTCAGGTTTTTCAGATATACCTGAATTGAATGTTTTTGTATGATGGAAATGAGTAGTCTTTAAAACTTCTGTGCTTACATGAACATCGCAATAGGCATTATGAATGGAACTATTTTGCAGTTGACTAGGGGGGGAGCTAGAAGCCGATATACAGGTTCGGCCAAACTCAATAGCTTTAGTTCAAATGCTATATTTTTTATTAAGAAATTCACTACAAAAATTAAGTTTAGAGCCTAGTTAATAACACCTGATATCGTTATCCTAGAATCCATTAAGTTCAAATTCTAACTCCACCTATGCTGTTGACATCTCTGTGGAGTTAACCAAAATGCAGTAGCGTTGTTAGGTATTGAAGGGGATTCAATTGAATTATTTTTGTTGGTAAGTTACACTGCAAATTGGGTAAGAACAAATATTTGTGTATGTTAAAAGATTGCCGAATCCCCTTGATATAACAGAAGTGTATGTGTGGTTGTAAAAGTGTGTTGAGAATAGTATTTTCAAATTTCAAGTGCGACTCTTTTACTTTTTTCTGAATCCCCTTGTTAGAATTCCTGATCTGCCGCTACCCATATGTACTTGTTATTTGATTGCTCAATTTCTTGTTTTCTTACAGCGAGTTAAAGTAGAAAGAATTTTGCTAAAGAACACCGCCTGTCAAATGGATGCTAACTTGCCATTTAGTTTAAATGATCTCTCTCATGTGATTTGTTCTGTGTCTTGCTCCATCTCTCTTTTCTTTGCTACTTTATTTCCGCTTTCAGTCCCTAATCAAACCAACAACCAAAACAGTTGGTTAATCGGGATAAAGAAGTACATTAAACAGCACCTTCGTTTTGCACCTTTTGCCTTTCCTGTATTTCTTTTCCATTTTCCCTCTTTAACTTGTTTAACTGTCCTTCTCTCATTCGTACCTTTTCCCTCATTTTTGTCTGTGGAGATCATGTAAACTAATATGGAAGAAACCTATTACGAAATCTTAAACAACTGTATATTAATATACTTAATATGGGTTAAGATCTCAGAGAATAGTATGTACAACCAAACTGGGAATATAACAACCCGAGAAGGAAGCACTCCATCAACCAACCAAAACGAAAAAAAAGAAAGATGATTAAGTCGGGTAGAATAGGAACAAGGAACAGATTGGCGAATTGGAAGATACCAGCTCAACAAATGAAGTATCAGCAATAAATAACAAATAAGCCCTATTGATGTTTGAGAAGAAATGACAGTGAATGGATAGAAGTCAGTCCTTGAAGTCTATATACTGCACCTAATTATCCAAAAAAGAAAAAGAAGTATCTGTGGTTCCTACAAACAGTGTAGCTCTTGAACCGTAATGTAGCAGACTCTCTTAGGTTGTATACTTATTCTGGTTCAGGATGTTGCTTTCTGCTGTTAACTCATTTTTCTTGTACTGTTCGATTGAAGGTATCCAGCTGACTTATACAAAAGAGCAAAGGTTGAATCTGTGCTGGACTGGCATCGCACTAACTTCCCTCGTGGTCCAGGTGCTTATATCAGAGACTGATTATTTTGGTGTCCAGTTTGAATATGATTACTGTCTTGACCTTAATGGGTTAATTTAGTGGTGAGTTTTGGATTTTGGGAGAACTTGGACAACAAAATTCAAAGTGATCATTCAGCATCTGAATTAGATATTATTTGAAAATGAGATTAAGCAGGGAAATTTGCTGTATGATCACTTTGAAAGAAGAGCAAGAGCAATGCTATAATGCTCTTTGCAAGTCTGTGAGTTTCTTACTGGCTTTAGTAGCTCTTTCTTGTAACTGAAACAATTGACCTTTGTCAAAACTCTATTTGTAAGTCAAGTCGATTATGATGGTGACTTTTTTTCCCAATAATGACAGTGACTAACAACACTATGATAAAAGTGGTTTTCCGCAGTATTCTGTGATTACTACTTTCCAACAGTTTTCTAAAGCACCGCTTCTGTTTTCAGGTTCATATGTCTCTACATCTGTTCTTGCTCCTGTATTTGGGTTGCGTTTGAATCCACAAGCAGCAGCAAGATCTGAAAAGATCCTTATAGCATCTCTTGCAAAGATCGAGTCTGTTTGGCTCCAGAAAAAAGGACGATTTTTACTTGGGAGTGGCCAACCTTCAATTGCAGATCTTAGCTTAGCGTGTGAGATTATGTCACTTGAGGTAATGAGATTTTCCCTTTTTTTTCTCTGTTGCTTCACAATCTTGTGATACACAAACTATCAAGAGGAGTCTGTTGCTTAGGACATTATTTGGAACAAGCTTGTTCTCGGTGCATGTCGCGTTTCCCTGGACGATGCGTACATGCAAAACCAGGACCTAATTGTTTTTGCTCAGAATGTAGTCATTGACATTCAAAACTGTGTCGAATGTTCTTTTTCCCAGTTTCCCCTCCATCTGCAGTCACTCTCCTTGTGATCGGGCTGGAGAGTTGACGGGGTCTGACCTGGCCAAACCTTCGCAGTCGTGAAGCACACCCCACTAGTGCATCGTGATCGCGACTGGTGCCCACACGATCATGTTGAGGAACCAGACAAATCTTCAATGCGTTTTGGGTCTCAATGACACCAAATCACCCCCGAGCCCTCAGTTTCAGATCCAAGCATGCCAACAAGTCTAAGCTCACATTACATACTTATGTGAAGTCTCAAATCACTCAACATCACGCTATTACTCAAACAAAGGGGTTGGGTTCCTAAATTTGGCTTTTTAGCCTCTCAAAACAAGATTGTGTTAAAGAACCTTCCGATCCCTTCGGGTTTCAACCTGGACTATCCCACTAACGACAAAAACATGATACAGAGCTATCTGTTAACTTCACTTGAGTTCGGTTTCCCCTGGAAATGATGGAATAAACTTTTCTTCCTTCTAGCGACTATGAGCTCATAGGGAGCTCGAATGAACTTAGTTAGATGGGACTAATTAGAAGGGGGATCGGATTTGATTAGCGCTCTTTCTGCCTGTCCTTTCCTTACTCTGTTGATGGTATGCCTGAGATGGCAGTCTTTTTCCTTAGCTTGTAGTCGAGATCCGATGTTCAAAAGGCAACCAATCCTTGTCTAGTAACCATTCGTAGTGGGAGTTCGGATCTATGCTCCAAGGAGGGGGTCTATTAGCAGAGCATTGATAATCGGATTCTTGCCTTGCACAGGTTATCAATGCATAAACTCATAAACATTGTAGAAAAGGGAAGAGAACCATTTCATCTCAGGTAAAATTAACAAATAGAGTACAAATGCTCAAAATGGGGTTTCAGGTTGGTACATTCTCCTTAACAAAAAAATAATGTCGTCCTCGAATGGGTCTAGAAATGTACCCAGGATCTCAAAAAGTTGTGGGTATCTGTCCAAGCTTCCACTAAAGTTGAATAGTAATACACATTGTAGGATGACGGATGCCCTTAAAAGTCCCTATTCCAAAATACTGAGAGGTAATAGTAATGGGAAATTTACCAATATGTACAGTTCGGTCAAACCTATTTACCAATATGACCGAAACATACACAACCTATACATTGATTATGTATATTATGTGTAGGTATGCATATTTAGTATAAATATACACAACCTATACATTTTAAACTAGTTGGACGAAAAGCGTTTAGGGCCGTAATGATCTCAATAGTAATTCTGTTCTCTTCTCTAAATTGGTTTAAAGGGTTAGCCATATTGGCAGCGTGTCAGACCACCAGTTGTTCCCTCCCCTCATCCTTGGGTGGTTCTCTACTTGTCCTCTCCACTTCCTCTGTGAGTAGTTTCAGTCAGCCAGTCGTCATTATTGGAAATGGCTAAATCTTTTTATACTATGAAGAGCCTTATAGATGCTTCCGTAGAGTAATTACATTTACAGGTATAACTGATGAAGGAATTTATAATTTTCTGTCGGGTGTGTTTCTATCTTGAAAAGTCTTAACAACTGAATGCACATGATTTTTGAGGTCTCATAGAAAAACCGTTTTGCCTGCTGAATTTAGGCTCTGGATGAGAAGGATCGTGAGCGGATATTAGGCCCATTCAAGAGAGTTCAGAGGTGGCTTGATGATACGAAGAATGTCATGGCACCTCATTTCGAAGAAGTAAATTCAATCCTCTACAAGATTAAAGAGAATCTGCAAAAGCAAAGAGATCAGGGAGGAAGTAGCATTACTCAATCAAGCAAAAAACATGACCTGCATTCGAAAATGTGACGAAGCAATCAGGAAGCTTGACACTGCATTATGCTCGCAGCATTCCGAGTTTTCATTTTTCCTTTTTCTTCATGTATTTGTACTCATACAAATCTAGAAGTCCCTTAATCTTGGCAATGGATCTGCTATTTCGTCTGTATCGAATATATGAGTTGAAGATTTTATTCCCCAAGTCCAATAAATGCTTGTAGAGGAAAAGTAGTATCTGGAATAGCATATCTCAGTGCTTAATTGTTGTTTCCATTCACCAACAAAGATAAGGAACAAAGAGATGGGTTACATGGACCCTCTGACTTCCAGCTGTGTGTTGTGTGGCTCCTGTGAAGAGAATGAAAAGCTTACGCTTTCTCTAACCTCTTTGACTGGTAGGCTGTAGTGCTAAGACCCCTACTTAAGATTCAATTCATCAGGCTAAATTTATGTTGTCTTGAGGCATTGGTTAGGCCAACTATATAGGCTATCACTTCAACTTCTATACTGGCCCTTCCACTAAGACTTGACTTCAGAGCAGGAAATCTTCCTACAATTTAGCAGCAAGTCAACTGAAGCACAGCAGAGTAAGACCTGAACAGAATATTCCATTGATTTCCTAAGTACTCTATGCCAAACTAATGGAAGTCAAGCATGTTTGTGGTAGTCAAGAAAACAGGAGTAGGTTCTTTGGAAGGCGCATTGGAGAATTTGTATGTTATTCCACCTCAGGGTCTTATACTTGATACAACTAATTTTGTGTGTGTGCACATGAGAGAGAAGTACATTGTTTTCAATAAAGGGAGCTTTGTAAACCATGCTGGAACATCTGACTGTTATTGCTCATGCCCCTGCAAACAATAGGAATAAAATAAGAAAGTACTGGTATATCACATCCTTGCTGAAAGGAGTGTCTAATAAATAGAATGAAGCATTTCTTCGACGAGAAATTAGAAATCTGTCATAAGAGAAGTCTACAAGCATTAGTACATATTTCATAGTTATAAAACCTAAACACCGATTTACACATTCCTTACTGCCTACTTCAGGTTTTGTATTTTCTAATGAATTACTCTCAAAGTCTTAACTAATATTGTTGCCCTCTTCTGATTAGGGATAGCAATAGGGTGAGACGAGGCGGTTTAGGGCTATGCCGGGCTGAACTTTTGAAACTTTTTTTTAAAAAAAAAGTCTGTATGGGGCAGGTTGGAGTGTTTGCGGGTTTATATGAGTTTGCCATCTCTACTTCTGATTTTCTTGTCTGATACCAGTTGTTATTTGAAGGTAATAGATCTGAGATGCGTGAAAATTAACTTGGATTATAAAAAATTTAATAAATTTCTAAAATTTGAACCTTTATCATTAGAATTCAAACATCATAAAAGATAATAAAATTAAATTGTCACAATTTATACTCTATGATGAAAAATTCATAAGTTTAAAAGTGATAAAAAAAAAAATGACCCCTCACCCCCACCCAGTTGACTGCAACAGTATTACAATCTGAAAATTAGAAAGCAATTTCGAAAAAGAAAAATCAGAAAGCTAAAGAGATGACACTGAAATTATACGTAGATCGATTGTCCCAATCTTGTCGTGAAGTTATCATCTTCTGCAAGTAAGCAATTTTTTCTTCAAATATAATGATTTAATTTTTCAAATGAAGTTTTAATGATTTTTTCCCCAAAAGGTTAAATGGGATAGACTTTGAGGAGGTTTACATTGAGCTCTCCAAACGCCATCAATTATCTCCTGAATTTAGAGGTTTGTGTTTTATTTAATAAACTATAGTTTTTCCATGAAAAAAAAAGGGGTTGATTTGTTATTTGTTTCTTTTATTTTCAATAGTTTTATCTGTATTCATCTTCAGAAATTAATCCCATCCAGCAAATACCAGCTATAATGGATGGAAAATTTAAGCTTTCCGAAAGGTATCTACTTTATCAATGTCGTCTTTTTACTTGTATAGTTATATATTGAAAACATTGTTGTGTTTTTTCGCTGTATGTATCGCACAAATGTTTATAGTTTTATGTGATCACTTGTGCATATGTATTATTCTTATAGCTTATATGTAGTGTGCTAGCCCCATGGGGCACAAGAAACTACCATAGACAAAATTTCCCTTTGTCAATAGTTGGGGTCAAATATATTCTCGTCGTTACTAAAATGGGCTAAATGTGCCCTTATTTTCGAATGGTGATGATGCCTTGTGTCCTTCATTCAAGGACTAACTTATAAGAAAAAGGATTAACTTTTTTAAACGGAGGGTGAATTTGAACCTTTTGCATAGTTCAGAGGCAAATTTGACCCTTCTCCCTAATTTTGAGTTTTTTTTCGAGTTCTCCTTTCTCTCTCCCTGCCTTTGCTTCTATTGTCAATAATCATTTCTTCCTCTTTTGACCTCTATGTAGCTATACACCTGCATTAAATAAGTATTATATGTTGCATGCTCAAGCGTTTATATAAGAGATTGTGACTATTTGTGATGGTGACTAATAACACTATGATAAAAGTGATTTTATATGCAGCATTCTGTGATTACTACTTGTTGATATGCCTCTCCTTTTAGCTATGTCCAACACTTCTCTCAAGAACCGCTTCTTTTTTCAGTTTCATTCGTCTTTTAATCTGTTCTTGCTCCTACTGCCGGGTTGCCTTTGAATACAAAAGCAGCAGCAAGAACTGAGAAGAATTTTATAGCATCTCTTGCAATGATCGAGTCTGTTTGGCTACAGAAAAAAGGACGGTTTTTGCTTGGGAGTGAGCAACCTTCAATTGCTGATCTTAGCTTAGCGTGCGAGATTATGCAACTTGAGGTAAAGAGATCTCCCTTTGTTTCTGCTGCTACTTTACAATCTTTTGATTCAAAGCATAATTGTCTGTTGCTTCGGACATTATATGGTAAAATTCAGAACTGTGTTAAATGTTTCTTTTCCCTCCATCAGCTTGTATGAACTTCCGTTGAAGTTGAATAGTAATACACATGGTAATATGACGAACGCCCTTAAAATCCCCTATTACAAAACACAAAGAGGTAATCATTTCAGTTAGCCGGTCATTGCTTCTGTGTATAGTCATTACTAGTATAGCTGAGGATGATAGTCTATCAACTGAATGCACTTGATTCTGAGGTCCTATAGAAAAACCCTTTTTCCTGCTGAATTTAGGTTCTGGATGAAAAGGATCGTGAGCGGATATTAGGCCCATTCAAGAGAGTTCTGAAGTGGCTTGATGATACGAAGAATGTCATGGCACCTCATTTCGAAGAAGTACACTCAATTCTCTATAAATTTAAAGAGAAGTTGCAAAAGCAAAGAATTACTCAACCGGGCAGAAAACCTGTCCTGCACTCGAAGATGTGACAAAGCAGTTGGGAAACCAGACGCTGCATTATGCTTGCAGCATTGCGGATGATTGCTTCTTGTATACTGTCGATTTGAAGCTGATCAGGAAGAGAATTCTGGTCCTAGCTATCCTACTATTATTTTGCTTTAGATACTTCCCTTTCCTCAGTATTTTCATCATTGCATCTTGACTCTTGTATTTTTCAAACTTGTTTCTGAAAATGCTTTCCTTGAGTCAAGGGTCTATCGGAAACAACCTCTCCACCCCACAAAAGGTGTGTGTAAGATCTGCGTACATTCTATCCTTCCATACATCACACTGGGTATGTTGTTGTATTTGTATTCATAAAATAAGTGCACAGTATGCTGATCCTAGTGCACACAATATGTAATCAGACAAGCTGAGTGTTCCTTAATCTTGGAAAATCTGTTTTTTTTTCTCCCCACTCGGTGTCTAGTATCAGCATTAGAGCCAGACTATTGCACTACATCCGTTGGTAGTGACAAATCTGTTGTTTCTTCACGGTATAAAATATGCTATATCATTATCCACGAATGTTTAACTAGTAATCAATAAAGAGGAATCATGAGGGTTCAAGTCTTGGTGGACAAATCTCGATAAGTTTGTTGAACAAAATTCTAATTTTGATTTCAAATTCTTTAAAAATAAGATTTTACTTGGTAATAAGAGGAAATAGGCGGCCTAAGCAAACACCAGCCCGTCAACATCAATCCATTTATTTATCTATTTTAACAATATTGTTGCACTTGATAGCATTATAGGTCTACTTTTACTTGTTTAGCCAAAAATAGCAGATAAAAAAAGTGGGCCCCAATAATATAAAGAATAATTAAGTCAAATAGTTTTATTAATTTTTTTTTTATAAATGTTATAGTATTATTTGAGGCACTATATAAAGGATCATATTATCAACGCATGCAATTTTTTAACCCAAGCTAATTCATTAAGCAGAACCCATATTGCATCTGCCGCTAAACATGGCAGTCGGCATTACGAATGGAACTATTCTGCAGTTGGCATCTGTGTGAATTTAATGCCACATGTACCTGTTATTTGATTGCTAATTGCTTGTTGTGTTTCTAACTTAGAGTTCAAGTAGTAGAGTTTTGATAAGAAACACCATCTGGTTTTGCTAAGAAACCCGTCATTTGCACCAAACCGATAATAACATGACATGTGTCTTCTGCATACTCTTTTGTCACCTAACTATGGTTAATTAATGTGCATTTTCATCTCATTTATTACTTAAGCATAGTAAAATACATTGGTTTGGTGTAAACACTAGCCCGAACGAACCAAAGAAACACTTCCAACAGAAAAGAAGAACAAGTAACATATTAGCAGATTGGAAAATACCAGCTCAACAAATGAAGTATCAGCACCGAATAACAAACAAGCCCTATCAAAATTTGAGAAGAGATGATTGTGAACACACAAGTCATTAATTGGAATCTCTGTATTATACCAACTTATCCGGAAAAGAAAAAAAAGTACATCTATGGTGCCTATGAACAGTGTTGCTCTTCATTCTTAGTGATAGACTAATGTACACACTCTTAGGTTGTATAAATTCCTATCCTGGTTAGTGTTTGCTTTAACTCTTCTTTCATACACTGTCCTATTGAAGGTACCCTGCTGACTTATACAAAAGAGCAAAGGTAGACTCTGTGTTGGATTGGCATCACTCAAACTTGCGTCGCGGTACAGGTGCTTATATCAGATATTGATATTATTTCAGTTTCCGGTTGAATTATGATTACTTTACCTTGACCTTACTTGAGTTAATTTAGTGGTGAATGCTGGGATTTGCAAGAACTTGGGCAAAAAGATGCCTACAGGCTACAGTTAAGGCAATGGCTGAATTAAAATTTTATCCCAAATGAGATTAATCAAGGAAATTCGTTTGTATGATCTGTTTTAAAAAAAAGAGCATCTGCTTGTCATGATGCTCTTTGCTAAGATTCTCGCTACTAACCTAATGCAAGACAGTTGCTGCAAGCCTACAAGTTTATTAGTCTATCTTTAGGAATTGATTCCTCTAACTGAAACACCTAACCTTTTTCAAACCTCTAATTGTGAGTCTAGCTACTGCATGATGGTGACTTTTTTTCTTCAATAATGACAGTGACTAAAACCACTAGGATAGGTAGTCTTTTCACCAATATTCTATAATTCCTACTTCTTGTTGATAACTTGATATGCCACTCTTTAGCTGTTTCCAACAGTTTTCTGAAGCAGTGCTTATGTTTTCAGCTGGATATATCTTTAATACTGTTCTCGCTCCTGCTTTTGGGTTGCCTTTGAATCCACAAGCAGCAGCAGAAGCTAAGAAAGTCCTTTTGGCATCTCTTGCAAATATCGAGTCTGTTTGGCTCCAGAGAAAAGGGCGATTTTTGCTTGGGAGTGGCCAACCTTCAATTGCAGATCTTAGCTTAGTGTGTGAGCTTATGGAACTTGAGGTAAAGAGATTTTCCTTTTTCCTGCTGTTTCTTTACATCTTTTTATCCAGACCATAAATTATCAAGAGGAGTCTTGTTGAAATTTCTTTTATAATGAATTTGGGTTTTGGATGTGATGAATTTAGATTTTGGATGAGAAGGATCGTGAGCGGATAATAGGCCCATACAAGAGAGTTTTGAAGTGGATTGATGACACAAAGAATGCCATGGAACCTCATTTCCAAGAGGTACATGTGATCCTCTACAAAGCTAAAGAGAAATTCCACAAGCAAAGACATGCTGTAGGGAGTAGCATTCCTCAATCAAGTAGAAAACCTGACTTGCACTCGAAGATGTGAGAAAGCAACAAGGATCCAGGTGCTGCATTGTGCTCGTAGTATCACCGTGCACCATGGCAGATAACGGGATGAACAGTGTGTATGTGAAAGCTGATACAGGAAGGAGAATTCTGATCCAAGCTTTCCTTACTCATACACTTCTTTGTTGCTTCTTTTATTTTTTCATTTATCAAGATAAGGAAGTTTATAAGACAGATCAATACTAAGCTAGTACATAAAAAACATAGTTACAAGTTCTGCAAATCGAAGCGATCATATCTAACATGGCATCTACATCAAGTACAAAGATCAGGTTGCACCATTAAGACTAAGTATGCTTCTCTTGTTGCATTCAAGAATTCTGCTATTCCTTTCTATCCAAATTGTTCACCAAATAGCATGTGGTATTGTTGCTTCTTTTTCATCTATAAGTTGTTTCAAAACAGTTCAGTAATTTCATCAGTCTCTCTCTCTCTCACACACACATAACACAGCCACACACTCGCTCATTTCTTTAGTTTCAAAAAATACATTAGAATTCACTCCCAAGTCCATATTGCCAGAATCTTTTACTCCTTTTTCTTAAATTTAGAAAGGAGGTGGCGAGAAGAGATAGCTCATAACTCCCTTCCCCCAAAACAGAAAAAGACAAAAGAGGATCAACCAATCAATGATCAGCTGGATCTCAATACCAAACTGGTGTGATAGGCTCTACGAATCCTCTATATCCATCATCGTCTGTTTGAACCAGTTTCATTTTGACACAAACAATTTGTCATATAACAGAAACTAGTTGTTCTCTAGATCTCATACATACACCTGGACAATACAAGTTTGAAACCAAATCGCATCACTTTTTTTCGGGACAACTGTGCTGTCCCCACCTCGACTAATTCTATGGGTACCTACCTACCACCAACACATATATGGAACCAAATTGACACTTAGCACTGTTCAATCAGATCTAATAGAGATACATATATGGGGTAATTCTGATTAGCCCCCAAACTGGTATTGGTTAACAATACAATTTCGAAACAGATAGCATTTCACTAAAGCATGAATTTTTGCCTAATCTTAGAAGACTAGTTATCACTATTGCATAATCAAACTAAGCAATTAAACGAGATTAAAAAAAATGCAAAATTGAAAAGCTAAAAAAGTAAAGAGTAAGACACTGAGCAGAAAATTTACCTGATGGAGCAAAGGCTTTAATAAATTTATAACTACAAGTTGAAACACCGAGTGCTTAGCTCACTTGATTGAGATCTGTAACAGTGATAAACAGTATCAAGACCCATGAATTGCAAAAAAGAAGAAGTGAAAAACAGTCTATGGAGAAAGTAAATAAGTAGAATTACTAAGAGGAAAACGAAAGGTTTTCGATGAATTCAGCTTAAGTCTTTTGAAACTCACTTTCTCCGGCTTAGAAACGCCGACGGTGATCGACGTCCGGCGCCGATCAATTGTAGTCTTTCAAAGGGCGGGATAAACAAAGTGAAAAAAAAAAGTACTTTAATTTCTTTTCCTTTAAAAGGCTTTATGGCCCAAAAACAACTTGGGCTTAACCCAACAACCAACCTTTGGACTCTATTTTTGGAATGAAATTTATGTCGTTGACATCGAAATAACAAATAATTATTGGGATTGCACAAGGTTCGTATCATAATATTTCACAAATTAAGCATATTTTAGACATAATGTATAAATTTATCATCCGTACTCTTATTTAGATGGAAATCCCCAAAGCAATTGAAATTATCCAATTTTCAAAAAAGAAAAAACCGCCATCTTAATATAACCAAACCCGATGCACCTCTTATTTCTTTGGGTTAATTTAGTAAGATGGGTCAGGTTTGAATTATATTAAGTTGGTGGCTTATATTCTTTAAACTAATCAAATAAATTTAAGGGAAAATAACATTTGTACCATAAAAGGGAAACTATTTCTAAGTTGTTATCCCTTACTTTCATATCTCTATTTTTAATTACTAATACGCATTTACTATTTGATATGTATATTCAGTAGAAAACTACTCAATTACTCCTTAAACATCAAGGAGGAACAAACAGTGTTTTAATGAAAAGACAGTTTGCCCTCAGAAAGAAAAGTTTGGATGTGGATCCAATCAAAATAAACATATTAAATTGAATCTAATTTGGATAAATAATTTGCTTATTGAATCTAATTTATATAATATTAATTGATTTGGAGCACGAGCGACAAGTTTTCAGAACACATGTATAAATAATTCAGTCCATTTGAGGGGCAATGTGTGCAAAAAATTCATATATTAATAAAGGAATAAGGGTCTGAAAAATACTTAACTTTGGTCGGATTTGCTATTGCGATACTAAACTTTCACGAAGACCTATTACCTTCCTAGACTATTTAATACCGTATTTTAAACATATATATTTGCCCACGTGGATATAAAAAATAATGTAAAATTATAAATAGTAATGTGTTCATGTGGGCACGTATATACCTTTAAAATACACTATTAATAGTTCAAGGATAAAAAATACGGTACTTAAATAGTCTAGGAAACATGTCCTTATGAAATGTTAATATCGCAACAACAAATCCAACCAAAAATAGGGTATTTTTCAGACCCTTGTCCCAAAATAATAATTATACCTTCCCAGTTGAGTTGACTGTGTCTAAACCCATCCTCAAAATAAGAAAATCGAAAGGTGAAGCAGTGGGAGATTATAGAGATGACGCTCAAATTATACGTAGATCGTATGTCCCACCCTTGTCGTGAAGTTATAATCTTCTGCAAGTAAGCAATTTTTTCTTCAATTTGTTCCTTTGAATTACTTTTCGTTTTTCTCTATTCTTAATGATTTAACTTGTATTTTGTTAGAATTTGTTTTCAAGCTCAAATTGGAGTTTTATACTTACTCACTCCTTTCAATGAATATGTTTTGTTGGAAAATAAGTCGGTTTCTTACTAATTTACTTGTATTTGTGTTTGGTAAGTAAGCAAAAAAAGTATTATCCTAAAAACATTTATATGTAATCGAGAAAAATACTATGTGAGCAGGATGGGGTAGGGACTAGGGAGTGGGAGTTCGAGGACGGGATTGGGGATGTTGGGCGGGTGGGGGAAATAATGAACGTGGAATGTCACTTCTGAAACTTGTTTTTCCTAATTTTAGTCGAGGGGTCATAAGAAAATATTTTGACCAACTAAACGGAAGAAAATTGAAAAATATTTTTCTCCACACCAAACACTATATAGTTAAGTGGTGAGGAAGTTTTTCTTGATATTGTTTGTAGTTTTGAAGCTCAAAAATGGAGTTATAATGATTATTTTCCTGATAGGTTAAATGGGATAGACTTTGAGGAAGTTCATATAGATCTCTCCAAACGCCAGCAAAGGTCTCCTGAATATCGAGGTTTGTGTTTTTGTTAATAAATAAACTATACTTTTCCCACTAAGAAAGGGGTTGATTTGCTATTTGTTTCTTAATTTTCGACATAATGTCAATAGTTTCCTTTGTGTTCGTCTTCAGAAATTAATCCCATCCGGAAAATACCAGCTATAATGGATGGAAGATTTAAGCTTTCCGAAAGGTAAGTTGAGCTTCAACTGAAAAGTTAGCATTTTCTCGTTAAGCTTAATTCGAAAATACTCATACTGTTATATCTTGAAAACGTTGTCAATGTCTTTATCATTTTATGTGATCACTTGTGTATATGTATTTCAAAAGGCAAATTACTCAGTGTTAAGTTGAGAATAGTAATAAAGCTTATATGTAGTGTGCTAGCCCCATGGGGGACTTTCATGTTGGAGGTCCAGTGGTTCGGGCTTGGGACTTTCATGTTGGAGGTCTCAAGTTCAAAACTCCTTGCCAGCGAAAGCAAGTGGTTTGCCTTCTGGGTCGAGCTTGTCACACCGGGCTTGCCTAGTGTGGGTTACCTCTCCTATGTGGTTTGCGAGCTATTGCATAGGAGTGGGAGTTTTACCCTGTGCGCACCCAAAGGGTAGCGGCTACGGGTTTCCCTTGTCATAAAAAAAATAAAAATAAAAAATAGTAATAAAGCTTATATGTAGTGTGCTAGCCCCATGGGGGTACAAGAAACTACCATAGACAATGCCTGTGGAGACAAGTACGGTTAATAACTTTTGGGCAAAGGGTTAAATTTGCCCTAAACTATGCGTAATGGAACAGATTTTCCCTCCGTTAATAGTTGGGGTTGAATATACTCTTGCCGTTGCTAAAAGTGCCCTTATTTTCAAATGCCAGAAGCTTAGCACCTGGTGATGCCATGTAATGGTGAGGGCCTATTTGACCCTAACTAGAGGGGGGGGGGGGGGGAGCAAATATGTTCTATTTCATAGTCAAATTTGACCCCTTCCCTTCAATTTTTTTGTGGTGATATAAGGTTGGACTTTTTTCTTTTGATTTTTGTGGAGTTTCAGATAGTGTAATTTTTTGGATAACATGTAAATGTTAGTTAACCAACTTTATGTGTTTGCAGTCATGCAATTCTTAGATACCTGGCTTGTGCATTTCCACGAATTGCAGATCATTGGTAAGTTCAGCAAGTTTGGGTTTTTCATTATAATTGAATGTTCTTTTCAATCATGGAAATGACGATGAGTACTCTTTAAATCTCTTGTGCTTGACAATGAGTACACGACAATAGACATTATGAATCATCTTTTCCGCACTTAACATCTCTTGTTACTTACACCGTCCTATTGAAGGTATCCAACTGACTTATACAAAAGAGCAAAGGTCGAATCTGTGTTGGACTGGCAACGTACTACCTTCCCTAGTGGTTCAGGTGCTTATATCAGAGATTGTGATTATTTTCGTTTCCAGTTGGAGTGTGATATCTTGCTTGAGTTAATTTAATGGTGAATCTTGGGAGAACTTGGACAACAAAATTGTTAAGGTTAAGTCAGCATCTGAGTTAATTTTTATCCTAAAATGAGATTAAACGGACTCCTTGCTGCAAGTCTGCGAGTTTCTTACTGTCTTTACTCTTTAGTAGCTGTTTCTTGTAATTTAAACAATTGACCTTTGTCAAAACTCTAGTTGTAAGTCTAGTCGATTATGATGGTGACGCTTTTTCCAACAATGATGGTGACTAACAACACTATGATAAAAGTGTTCTTTTCCACAGCATTCTGTGATTACTACTGGTTGATACACCTCTCCATTTAGCTGTTTCCAACAGTTAACTCAAGAACCCGCTTCTGTTTTCAGGTTCATATGTCTTTCATTCTGTTCTTGGTCCTGCTGTTGGGATACCTTTGAATACAAAAGCAGCAGCAAGAACTGAGAAGAACCTTATAGCATCTCTTGCGTTGATCGAGTCTGTTTGGCTCCAGAAAAAAAGTCGGTTTTTGCTTGGGAGTGACCAACCTTCAATTGCAGATCTTAGCTTAGCGTGCGAGATTATGGCACTTGAGGTAAAAAAGACTTTCCCTTTCTTTTCTTTTTTTCTGCTGTTGCTTTACAATCTTTTGATTCAAAGTATAATTGTCTGTTGCTTCCAACATTGCCCAATTCAGAACTGAGTTATATGTTGCTTTTCCCTCCATCAGCGTGTATGAGCTTCCGTTGAAGTTGAATAGTAACACACATGGTAAACTGATGAATGCCCTTAAAATCGCCTATTACAAAACACAAAGAGGTGATCATATCAGTCAGCCGGACATTTGCTTCTGTATAGTCATTACTAGTATAGCTGATGAAGGAATGATAATTTTCTCTGGGTTGTGGTTCTATCTTGAAAAATCCATCAACTGAATGCAGTTGATTCTTAGGTCTTATAGAAAACCGTTTTCTGCTGAATTTAGGTTCTGGATGATAAGGATCATGAGCGGATATTAGGCCCATTCAAGAGAGTTCTGAAGTGGCTTGATGATACGAAGAATGCCATGGCACCTCATTTCGAAGAAGCACAATCAACCCTCTCTAATTATAAAGAGAAGGTGCAAAAGCAAAGAAATACTGTAGGAAGTAAAATTACTCAATCAGGCGGAAAACCTGTCCTGCAGTCGAAGATGTGACAAAGGAGTTAGGAAACCAGACGCTGCATTATGCTTGCAGCATCGCGGATGATTGTTTCTTCTACACTGTCTATTTGAAGCTGATCAGGAAGAGATTTCTGGTCTGAGCGTTCCTACTACTTATTATTTTGCTTTAGATACTTCCCTTTTCCTTAGTATTTTCATCATAGCATCACTCTTGTATTTTTCAATTCTAAAAACGCTTTTCTTGATACGAGAGTTTATCAGAAACAACCTCTCTACCTCAAACAAGATGGGGGTAAAATCCGCATTCATTCTAGTACCCTCCCCAGACATCACACTGGGTATGTTGTTGTATTTGTATTCATAAAATAAGTGCACACAATATGTAATAAGACAAGCAGAGTGTTCCTTAATCTTGGCAACAGATCTGTTATTTCCTATGGTATTACTATATACTGTTTCCTCTTCTGATTCTTGTGATGACAATTTGGTTAAGGTACTTTGCTAGTGTTATATCATTATCCACGAGCATATTTAAGGGTGCAATTTAATGGTCAATAAAATTAAAATTTGAGGTCTTAAGTCCTATCTGTTCAAGTTTTGATGGACAAGTTTACTCGATATGTGTGTTGGTGGAAGGTAATAAATATTTCATGAAATTTAATAAGGTGCACACAAGTTAACTTGATCATCATAATTATTAAAATAAAAAAATCATTAGCTTGTGAAGTTTTTATACTTGTAAGAAAAAAAATACAACTTAAAATTTTCAAATTATACATTCAAATAAAATTTCAACTTAGTTTCAAATTATGGGCTAAGTGTTTGATTTTAAAATAGGGAAAATCGTATAAAATAACAAATTATTAATTTAAATTAAATGTTATAACCACAGTTTCATTTAACTATAACATGTAGCAAACAGTTATCAATCGCCTCTCTCCCTAGCGAATTTCGCTCACCACTCTCCCAGATCTCGCTCGTCACTCTCCCTCGCCTTTCTCACTTTATACAAACACAAATGTATAAATTGTGTTTGTGTTTGTATAAAGCCAAAAAAAACTGTATATATAAATACAAATACATATATTTTCGTCCTATACACTTATAATTATACAAATACAAATCTTCCCCTACCAGTTCTCTTTTTCCCTTATCTCTTTCTCGCTTTATGCAAACACAAATTCTACAAATTACAATGTATTTGTGTTGTATAAAGCGAGAGAGAGAGATTTGATATACAAATATTTTATTTCGATTCAATTGTATACAAATTCAAATTGTATGTAGATATACAAACACAATCATTGATACATATACATAATAGTTACATATATAAAATTGAATTGAGAGGCTGCCAGTGATTTATACAAATGAGAGGTTGCCAACAATTTATACAAATGAGAGGCTGCCAACAATTTATACAAATATTTTTATGTTTGCTAAATCTAAAATTTACTCTTTAAAATACGAGAGCCACAAATAATATTAGGTTAAATTATCTAAATACACATCTTATTTTATCATAATCTCTAAAATTTCCTACCATTTAATTTTTTTTCAAAATTCCCTCTGGATACATCACTCCCCTCTCGCTATACATTCTATCTCCCTCTCTGATACATCCTATCTCCCTCCCCTCTTTGATACATCTCTTCCCTCTCGGATATATCCCTTTCCTCTCAGATACATCCCTCCTGTCTCTGATACATATCTAGTCCCCTATGTATCCGAATGTCCTATCCCCTCTCTGATACATTTCTCACCTTTCGAATACATCCTTCCTCTATGTATCTGAATTTGAGATGATGGATTCAGAAGTCCAATGATATATCTAGAGGTCCAATGATGTATCCGGAATCCATAAATTTTAAGGGACACTTGTAATTTAAAAAATAGTGAAAAAATAATATAATTAGCTCTCGTGAGATTACACATAATAATAATAATAATAATAATAATAGAGTCAATATTAGGCGCCAACCTTATCTGACCCGTCTACGTGGATCCTACCTCAGCTAACCAAATTTAGCAGTGGCGGTAATTCCATTCTCACATCTGAAATCCCATATTCAGCTCGCGTCGCCGGCGGTGAGTTCGTCGGAGTTAATTTCCGGTGAGCATAAAATTGATTGAAAGAGATGACGTTGAAATTATACGTAGATCGTATGTCCCAACCTTCTCGTGCAGTTATCATCTTCTGCAAGTAAGGATTTTTTTTTTCATTTTTCTTTTCTGTAGATGTTTAAAGCTCATAATGGAAGTTTTAATGAATTATTTTCTAGAAAGTTGATTAGTTCCGTTAGATAGGAACAGATGATAAATACTGAGTATTAGAACGGAAAGATCTATTAGATAATGAACTATTGGTACGATTAATCAACAATTCGAAGTGCTATGTTAATTCTATTTGTAGCTTTGAATCTCAAAATGGATTTTTAGTGACTGATCTTTCAAAAAATTAACAGGTGACGAGCTTTTTTTTGTTTTCTTTGAATTCTCATAATTGTGTTTGTAGCTTTACAAGTTACGAATACAATAGCATCCATAATGTAGTTGTTAAAATAGTCTTGGTTAGGGGAAGTTTATTCGCTGGATAGTTTTATATAATAGCTTTTCATATATAGGTAAATTGACCAAATCAAATTTATAAGAATCTTTAGAGCTTATAAGGGATTTGTTAATGATTAATTTTATTAAGAAGTTAATGAAGAAGTTCTGTTGTTTTTTCTGGATAATTCTGTTTCTAGTTTTGAAGCTCAAAATGGAGTTTTTAATGATTAATTTTCCAAAAGGTTAAATGGAATAGACTTTGAGGAGATACACATAAATCTCTCCAAGCGCCAGCAGTTATCTCCTGAATTTAAAGGTTTGTCTTTTTTTATTAACTCCACTTTTCGCTAGAAAAAATGGTTTTGATATATTATTTATTTCTTAGTTTCAAGATAATTTCAAAAGTTTTCTGACTTCATCTTCAGAAATTAACCCCATGAAGCAAGTACCAGCTATAATGGATGGAAGATTTAAGCTTTTCGAAAGGTAATGTTCATCTTGAACTGAAAATTTAGCATTTTCCAGTATCACAACTTTGTTAATGTCTATTATTCGCTGTATATGTTGCATACATGGTAAAACTTATGATTTAGTCTTTCATTCTCGTAGAAGTTCATGTTTGAAGAGTTCACCTAAACACCTGTGCATATATACTGCAAGAAGCAAAAAAAATTGTAAAGATTTCTATGTTGTGTGCACCATGTGGGCACAAGTAACTACAGTGGAAAGTGCCTGTGGAAATGGGACAATTTTATCTTTTCCTGAGTTTCACGTGAAGTATTTTATAACTTGGATAATGTTTAAAAGTTAGCTAACTGATTATATGTGCTTGCAGTCATGCAATTCTTAGATATCTGGCTTGTGCATTTCCAGGAATTGCAGATCATTGGTAAGTGCATCGACTTATTTTCAGTATATACCTTAGTCAAATGCTTTTTTATCATGGAAATGAATACTCTTTGAAGCTCTTGTTCTTGACATGGAATACAGCCCAGGGCAGATTCGGGATTTAAACTTGATGGGTTCAACTTATATATTCTCACTGCTGGACCCATTGCACTTCTGAAAGTATTGTTAAGAATTTAATAGTTACTAAAAAATTAGTGATCACGTATATGTCTAAGTTTCATGTCAAAATGTTGGGTTAAGCAGAACCCATATTGCATCTGCCTCTGAACATGGAAATTGGCATTACGAATGGAACTATTCTGCAGTTGGCATCTGTGTGATGTTAATCGCACATGTATGTGTTATTTGATTGCTAATTGCTTGTTGTGTTTCTAACTGGGAGTAAAGTAGTAGAGTTTTGCTAAGAAACGCATCTGGTTTTGCTATGAAACCTGTCATTTGTACCAAACCAATAATAACATGACACATGTCTTCTGCATACTCTTTTATCACCTAACTATGGTTATATAATGTGCATATTCCTCTCATTTATTACTTAACCATGGTAAAGTACATTGTTTGATGCAAACACCGGATGCGGGCAAGTTTTTACCCGAACGAACCAAAGAAGCACTCCAACAGAAAAGAAGAACAAGTAACATATTAGCAGATTGGAAAATACCTGCTCAACAACAGCACTGAATAATAAACAAGCCCTATCAAAATTTGAGAAGAGATGACTGTGAACACACGGAAGTCGTCAATTCAAATCTATGTACTGTACCAACTTATCCGAAAAAGAAAAAAAAGTACATCTATGGTGCCTATGAACAGTGTTGCTCTTCATTCTTAGTGATAGACTAATGTACACACTTGTAGGTTGTATAAATTCTTATCCTGGTTAGTGTTTGCTTTAACTCTTCTTTCTTACACTGTCCTATTGAAGGTACCCTGCTGACTTATACAAAAGAGCAAAGGTAGACTCTGTGTTGGATTGGCATCACTCGAACTTGCGTCGTGGTACAGGTGCTTATATCAGATGTTGAGATTATTTCAGTTTCCAGTTGAATTATGATTACTTTACCTTGACCTTACTTGAGTTAATTTAGTGGTGAATGCTGGGATTTGCAAGAACTTGGGCAAACGGATGCCTACAGGCTACAGTTAAGGCAATGACTGAATTAAAATTATCCCAAATGAGATTAATCAAGGAAATTTTATTTGTATGATCTGTTTTAAAAAAAAAAGAGCATCTGCTTGTCATGATGCCCTTTACTAAGATTCTCGCTACTAACCTAATGCAAGACAGTTGCTGCAAGCCAACAAGTTTCTTAGTCTATCTTTAGGGATTGATTCCTCTAATTGAAACACCTAACCTTTTTCAAACCTCTAATTGTGAGTCTAGCTACTGCATGATGGTGACTTTTTTTCTTCAACAATGACAGTGACTAAAACCACTAGGATAGGTAGTCTTTTCACCAATATTCTATAACTCCTACTTCTTGTTGATAACTTGATATGCCACTCTTTAGCTGTTTCCAACAGTTTTCTGAAGCAGTGCTTATGTTTTCAGCTGGATATATCTTTAATACTGTTCTCGCTCCTGCTTTTGGGTTGCCTTTGAATCCACAAGCAGCAGCAGAAGCTAAGAAAGTCCTTTTGGCATCTCTTGCAAATATTGAGTCTGTTTGGCTCCAGAGAAAAGGGCGATTTTTGCTTGGGAGTGGCCAACCTTCAATTGCAGATCTTAGCTTAGTGTGTGAGCTTATTGAACTTGAGGTAAAGAGATTTTCCCTTTTCCTGCTGTTTCTTTACATCTTTTGATCCAGAACATAAGTTATCAAGAGGAGTTTTGTGGAAATTTCTTTTATAATGAATTTGGGTTTTGGATGTGATGAATTTAGATTTTGGATGAGAAGGATCGTGAGCGGATAATAGGCCCATACAAGAGAGTTTTGAAGTGGATTGATGACACAAAGAATGCCATGGAACCTCATTTGCAAGAGGTACATGTGATCCTCTACAAAGCTAAAGAGAAATTCCACAAGCAAAGACATGCTGTAGGGAGTAGCATTCCTCAATCGAGTAGAAAACCTGACTTGCACTCGAAGATGTGAGAAAGCAACAAGGATCCAGGTGCTGCATTGTGCTCGTAGTATCACCGTGCACCATGGCAGATAACGGGATGAACAGTGTGTATGTGAAAGCTGATACAGGAAGGAGAATTCTGATCCAAGCTTTCCTTACTCATTTTCTTTATGTATATGTAATTATAAGTGTCTTTCAATTGTTAATCTAGTCCACAACATATGTAATCAAACAAACTGAGAATCCCTTACTCTTGGGTATACATCTGTTATTTCTTCACTGTATCAAATATATGAGTTTTGAATATTATCTATGAATGTCACTTGCAAGGTGAACTATTTCTAGCGCCTCTCCGGTGCATTTCCTTTAACTTCAGGTACTTTCTAATTGGTTGAGGAACACCAATATATATATCACCGCAACTAGTTAAATTGAATTGCGACTCCACATCAGCACATGTAAAGAAAATAATATAGAGGGATAGAACCCCGTTAAAAATTAAGTGGCTATTTTTTTCCACTTTTATCTATTTTTGAGTATGTGTTGATGAAATCCTATAAATTGTAAGGCTGTGATGACAACTTTATCTGTCCAGGCGGACACCTCTTTAGCTGAACCAATGCCTATGAAGCATGGCAGCAAATTTAGCGCTGGAAATTTGAAGTTCCTGAAATTCAGCTCGCGTCGCTGGTGGTGAGTTTGTCGGAGTTAATTTCAGGTGAAGAAAAAAAATGAAGCTGAAATTATACGTAGATCGTATGTCCCAACCTTCTCGTGCAGTTATAATCTTCTGCAAGTAAGCATTTTTCATAATGGAATTGTCTAATTAGTACTAGCATTTTCTTTTTTTCTACCATAAGGTTAGATTGGAAAGGAAGTTTTAATTTTTTTGGTTTCTTTGAATTCCCATAATTGTGTCTGTAACTTCAGAGCTTATGAACACATTAACGTCTACAATGTAGTCATTAAAGAGTCTTGGTTATAGGGAGATTATTCTCTCGATGTTAATGATTAATCTTATGAAGAATGTTAATGGAAGGAAATTTGTTGTTTTTCTGGATATTCTGTTTCTAGTTTTGAAGCTCAAAATGGAGTTTTTAATGATTAATTTTCCAATAGGTTAAATGGAATAGAATTTGAGGAGGTAAGTACAGAGCTCTTCAAGCGTCAGCAATTGTCTCCTGAATTTGAAGGTTTGTCTTTTTATATAAACTCTACTTTTTGATAGAAAAAAAGAGATAAATGGAAAAACACACACATGAAGTATCACGATCTTGCGAGGTTTCTATCTGAACTATCACCAACTATTTATTAAAAACATCTCAACTAGCAGTTGCTCTCATTGTTAATTACATGAACAATGATGATATTTTAGATAGGAAAAAGTGAACACTTGATAGTTCAGGTAGTTGGAAACTCGCAAAAATGTGCTACTTCAGTATGTTTTTGATCATTAACTCCTAGAAAAATGGTTTTGATGTATTTTTCTTTCTTAGTTTCAAGATAATTTCAACAGTTTTCTCTGACTTCATCTTCAGAAGTTAATCCCATGAAGCAAGTACCAGCTATAATGGATGGAAGATTTAAGCTTTTCGAAAGGTAATGTTCAGCTTGAACTGAAAATTTAGCATTTTCCAGTATGACAACTTTGTCAATGCCAGTTGTTTGATGTATAGCTTTCATGTTTGAAGAGTTCACCTGATCACCTTTGCATATATACTACAAGAAGCAAAACTTTTTGTAAAGATTTGTATGTAGCGTGCACCATGCGGGCACAAGTAACTACTGTGGAGACAGGACAATTTATCTTTTCCTGAGTTTCACGTAAAGTATTTCATAACTTGGATAATGTTCATTTATATGTGCTTGCAGTCATGCAATTCTTAGATATCTGGCTTGTGCATTTCCAGGAATTGCAGACCATTGGTAAGTGCATCAACTTATTTTCAGTATATATACCTCAGTCAAATGCTTTTTCAGCTCTTGTTCTTGACATGGAATACAACCCCGGACAGATCTGGTTTTGCTAAGAAACATCATCTGCTTTTCAAACTTATTTCTTACACTGTCCTATTGAAGGTACCCTGCTGACTTATACAAAAGAGCAAAGGTAGAATCTGTGTTGGATTGGCATCACTCTAACTTGCATCGTGGTGCAGGTGCTTATATCAGATATTTGAGATTATTTCAGTTTCCAGTTGAATTATGGTTATTTTTCCTTGACCTTAGGTTAATTTAGTGGTGAATGCTGGGATTTGCGAGAACTTGTGCAAAAAAATGCCGACGGTTAAGGCAATGTCTGAATTCAAATTCTATCCCAAAATGAAATTAATCGAGAAAAAAATGTTTGTATGATTAGTTGCTGCAAGCCTACAAGTTTCTTAGACTATCTTTAGTAGTTGATTCCTATAATTGAAACACTGACCTTTCTCAAACCTCTAATTGTGAGTCTAGCTACTTCATGATGGTGGCTTTTTTTTTATATATAACCATGACAGTGACTAAAAACACTATGATATGTAGTCTTTTCACCAATGTTCTCTAATTACTACTTGTGGATAACTTGATGTGCCACTGTTTTAGCTGTTTCCAACAGTTTACTGAAGCAGTTTTTATGTTTTCAGCAGGATATACCTTTAGTACTGTTCTCGCTCCTGCTTTTGGGTTGGCATTGAATCCAAAAGCAGCAGCAAAATATGAGAAAGTCCTTTTGGCATCTCTTGCAAAAATTGAGTCTGTTTGTCTCCAGAGAGAAGGACAATTTTTGCTTGGGAGTGGCCAACCTTCAATTGCAGATCTTAGCTTAGTGTGCGAGATTATGCAACTTGAGGTAAAGAGATTTTCCTTTTTCCTGCTGCTGTTGCTTTACATCTTTTGATCCAGAACATAAATTATCAAGATGAGTCTTTTTGCTTTGACATGTATTGTCTTTACTAGTATAGCTGATAATAAAGTGATGATTTTCGACTTCCACTTGAGTTGACTTGGAGAAATATACTTGTTTCTGAGGTCTTCTAGAAACTTCTTTTCTGATGAATTTAGGTTTTGGATGTGATGAATTCAGATTTTGGATGAGAAGGATCGTGAGCGGATAATAGGCCCATACAAGAGAGTTTTGAAGTGGATTGATGACGCAAAGAATGCCATGGAACCTCATTTGCAAGAGGTACATGTGATCCTCTTCAAAGCTAAACAGAAGTTCCATAAGCAAAGATATATAGGAAGTAGCATTCCTCAATCGAGCATAAAACCTGAATTTCATTCGAAGATGTGAGACAGCAATTAGGAGTCAGGTGGATACATCGTGCTCTCAGTATCACCATGCACCATGGCAGATCACGGGATAAACAGTGGGCATGTGAAAGCTGATACAGGAAGGAGAATTCTGATCCAAGCTTTCCTTATTCATTTTCTTTACGTATATGTACTTATAAAATAAGTGTTCAATTGATAATCCTAGTCCACAAAATATGTAACAAGACTAGTCGAGAGTCCCTTATACATCTGTTATTTCTACACTGTATCGAATATATAAGTTTTGAATATTATCTATGAATTTCACTTGCAAGGTGAACTATTTCTAGCGTCTGTCCGGTGCATTTCCTTATTTCCTATAACTTCAGGTACTTTATAATGTATTAGTTGAAGATACTCAAAGTACATGAAGAGCATGTTTTAACAGTAAATAATCCATTGACTGTATCTTTTCTCCCAGTGGACAAAAATTTAGACAGTTTTGTTAGCTACTAAGTTAGCAGCCAAGACTTACTCAACTGTGATTCCTTGTAAGTCAAGAGTATTCAGTTTCTTAGGTTTCTTGTAGTTTTTCAGCAGAAGAGAGCTGCAAACTACACTGACTGAAGAGGCAGCCATTGCAGCCCCAGCAATCCATGGTGGTAAACGAAAATGAGTAGATGGGAACAGGACGCCAGCAGCAATTGGGATGCCGAGGAGATTATATCCCAAAGCCCAGAAGTAGTTGAGATGGATTCTCTGGAAAGTTTTCTTAGAAAGATCGATTGCTGTTATTACATCTTTCAAGCTGCTTTTCATAAGAACAATGTCAGCTGCCTCAATTGCTATATCTGTGCCTGCACCAATTGCTATTCCTACATCAGCAGCCACAAGTGCTGGTGAGTCATTAACTCCATCTCCTACCATTGCCACAACTTTTCCTAAATCCTGTGTACTAAAATGGAACAGATGAATCATGTGAAGAAAATGAAATTATTACACATCAAAGCCTATAGTTTATGACGCGTCTTACGCTCATTTTAACTTTAAACTGTATGTGTCTGTGTCTGTGTGTCGCGCCCGCGCAAATTCATTAAATTCTAACAGAATGGAACAAGTTCCTACCTGTAGTTCCTTCACTTTTTCAGCTTTCTGTTCAGGTTTGGCTTCTGCAACAACATTTTTCCTCTCAATTCCAACTTGCTTGGCTATGGCATTTGCTGTTCCCCAGTTGTCACCTGTTACTATCATGCTCTCAACGTTCATTGATTTGAGAATGGAGATGACTTCTGGAGCCTCTGGCTTCAACAGGTCAGAAACGGAAAGAACACCAATCAGCTCTTTATCGATAGATACAAGTATGCCGGTTTGAGCCTGTCCTTCTGTTTCTGCTAATGCTTCTTCAGCTTCAACTGGAATGGCAATGCCTTGCTCCACCATCAAGCTTTTATTCCCCAAAATCACTTCTTTGTTACAGATGATAGCTTTCACACCATGGCCAGTTATCGACTCGAAGTCCGAGGCTTCAGGCCAGGCAAGGTTCTCCTCACTTCCTCTTAATTTTTTCGCGTACTCAACAATTGCTTTGGCTAAGGGGTGATCACTATTTCCCTGTCAATTTAAAATGCAGTACAAGACACTTAAACTCGTTTTGAGTGATCGTCTGAGAAATTAACTCGTTTTGTTAAGGGTATAAATTGATCTTTCTGATGAAGAATCATAAACAAGATAATATCCTACCTCAGCAGCAGCAATAAGTTCATAGAATTCTTGAGGTACCATAGTTTTGAAAATCCTAGTATTAACAACCATAGGCTTGCCAATAGTAAGAGTGCCAGTCTTGTCAAAAACTATACAGTTTACCTGTAGAATGAAACAGTTCACCACAAGTTCATTAACAAAATTTGGATTTGTTAAAAAGAAGAGTGAGTTTGAAGTCAGACCTCTTGTGCACTTTCCAATGCCTGACCACCTTTAATAAGGACACCGAGGGAAGCGCCCACACCAGTACCAACCATAATGGCTGTGGGAGTAGCTAAGCCGAGTGCACAGGGGCAAGCTACCACCATGACAGAAATGCCAAACTGCAGGGCAAGCTCAAAGCTATCCATGGAAGAAGGAATCCAAGTTCTTGGATAAGCATTAAAAGTTCCAGCTAAAAACCAAGAAACCCAAGTACAAAATGAGAGAGCAATGACCTGAGAAATCAGAATTAATCACTAATTTTCAGCTAAAGTTGGTTAGTTATATATATACACACACATATTGACAACAATGAACATGTAAGGGGTGCTTAATCTCACAATAGGCACAAAGTATTTGGAAATGTGATCAGCAAATCTTTGCACAGGAGCTTTAGCCATTTGTGCTGATTCAACCAACCGAACAATCTGCGATAGAGCAGTTTCTGACCCAACCCTTGTTGCCTTGATGTGTAACACCCCATTCTCATTCAAAGTCCCGCCAATCACCATGTCACCTGTCTTTCTAGTGACCGGACGAGATTCTCCTGTTATCATGCTTTCATTTATATGGCTTTGTCCCCGGATGACAAGACCATCACAGGCTACTTTCGAGCCTGGAATGGTTTTAATCACATCGTTCTTTTGTATCAATCGGCTATCAACTTCTTCCTCATTCACCACATTGCCTTTGTCATCTAGAGTTAGCAGTGTTGCAGTCTTTGGGGCTAAATCCATAAGCTTGGCAATGGCCTCAGATGTCTTTCCTCTAGCCAAAACTTCCAAATATTTTCCTAGTAGAATGAACGAGATAAGCATCGAGCTAGTCTCGAAAAAGTCACTGGCTTTGAAAGTTGGAGAAGTAGCAGCTCTTAGTACAGAATAGACTGAATAAAAATATGCTGCATTTGTTCCTAATGCAATAAGAACATCCATGTTAGCATAACCATGGCTTAAGGCAACATAAGCACCAACATAGAATTTTTGACCAATGATGAACTGTACCGGTGTAGACAATGCCCATCTCAGAACCTGTCCAACGGTTAGCATGTTGGCAACCTTAGTTTCCAAAACATCTTTCAGTCCAGGAATGTACATAAACACCATGGAAGTAAAAACCACAGGAATTGTAAATACTAAACTCCAAATAAACGCTTTATGATATTGCCTGATTTCGTGTTGTCTATGTTCTTCTCTTTCTCTTCCCTGAGGAAATATACATGCCTTGAAACATCCTGATTCAGTTGATTCAATAGCGCGAATAAAGTCTCTAGGTCCTGTTACATCTGCTGTATAAGAGACCGATAACTTCTTGAGCTGCAGGTCAAAGTCTATTTCTTGAACTCCTTGTATTGCAAGAAGGGAATTCTGTATCAGTTTAACACAATTCTCAGTGTCAACTCCATCAACTTTAAGCAGTATTTGACTACTATCTCCTCCTGTACTAATCAATATGCCTTCAAATCCTGTATTTCCAATAGCTTCCAACAACTGATTACACTCAACTATTTTGGGATCATAACAGATTTCAGCTTCTTGAGTTGCTAACGCGACTCGTGCTTTTTGTACACCAGGGATTACCTGCAATGCTGATTCAAGAGTTGTGGAGCATGAAGTACAAGTCATTCCATTCACTTGAATCCTGCATACTTGAGAGGACTTCTCATGATGCATCTCTTCTTCACTCAACTTATTAGCCTGAAATCCAACGTCTTCTATAGTCTCGCGGATCATCTCATCCTAGTCATATTAACATAAAAAAAGCATTTCAACTATGTGAGAATGATTCTTGAAGAATTTTTCATCCTCACAAAATTATATAGCTGTAAAGGAAGAGTACTTAGTAGAAGAGACCACTTTTGAGAAACCACATACTAACAAAACAGAGAAGATTGAACTAGTTTATGTATCAAGAAACTTACTGTGTTAGTGTTATATATGTGATATACTGTACTATAGTTTGGCAGCTCAGTGCAGAAATTATCCCACGTTCACATAGGTTCGGAAAGGACCAGATCCTTAGAAGGTGTGATATAGACAACTTATCCTGACACAAACATGAATGACTAAAGAACACGACTTGAAGCTTGAATCTATAGGTAATACAAAAACAACTTTACCATTACCATTGCTAAAGGGGTATTTAGAATAAGTAGTACGCATTTAATATACTTAGCAGGCAGGTCCATTAGTATTTGTCTAATTAAAGTGGCATATTAGGATAATCTTTGATAATGATAAAAATACACATCCACTTATGAAAAAAAAAAGTGTTCTTTTTTCCTATATGCACTTCAAAGTTTATATTAACTGTGTATGAGGAATCCAAAAGACAGCACACAACACTAAAAAGCAAAAAGTTACAAAAAGCTTCTTCAGAAAAAAGAAGATTGGAGAATATTTTCCCACTAGAAAGCATAGATTTGATTAGTGCTTTACAGTTGAACAACTTCCATGTGTATCTCAAATTTACATTCTGAATGGTAGTTCAAGTTGGAAGTTATTTCCACGGTTCCGTTTCAATTTGTTTGACCTATTTTGACTTAACACGATGTTTAAAAAAATAAAGAAGACTTTTGAATTTTATAGTCTTAAATTAAAAATATGTCAAATATATCAAAATGTTCATTAATATTGTAGTTTTAAACATATCATATGAAATTTGAAATTAAAGAATCACTAAAAAAGATAAGAATCGTTTTTTTTTAAAAACAGACTAAAAAGAAAGGTAGATCAAACAAAATGAAACGAAAATTTTGGATTGTTTGAACTCATGGACGCAATCATGAAGTTTTAAATGTATAAATTCAAAACTTCCATACCGAGTTTAAAGAGGTACAATAAGTGAAAGAACAATGATGGTATCTCGCTTTTATCACGAGGTACCATCATTGAATTACTCCTTTAACATTATTTCTCTCGTTGCATATCTATTTCAAACTCCATGAAAAAATATTAAAGGATCGAACTTTTATAAGTTCAAAAACATGAAACAAACACACTAGAGTAAAATTCCAATAAAATCACCCAAAATAAAAGAAAACTAAAAGAGAAATGTTGCAATGAACTTACATTAATGAGACAGCCAATTTAATTCCAATGATTGAAAACAAATCCTTTGTTTCATTTTCTTGAAAGTTTGCCTTTTTTTTTCTTTATAGCTTATATGTAGAATTCTTGCTACATTTTTTTTTTTATAACTCTCTACTATGTTCTTTCGGTTGAAAAAAGTACACAAGTTTTCTTTTTGGTCATTTGGAGGTGTTTTCTTGTTGTAAAGTTTTGGATTATATGTACTTTTTTTAATTCAGGTGCTTCACAGCATAGCCACTAAGCAATTGAGTTAGCACTTGTGTATTTAAAAAATCGGGGAAAAGATTCAAATATGTCGTCGAACTTTTTAAAAAAAATATTTATGTCATTCGTTAAAAGTTGACTTATCTGTTGTTATCGTTCGAAATAAAAAACCTCATTCATGCCAATATATATTTACTGAAATGGCAAAGATGAGCTAAATTTTCAACGGAGGGCGTAGAGGAGCTTTTTCTCAAAGTTTGATGACGTATTTGAGTTTTTCCCTTTAAAAAATGATTTAGTTAATGACGTGGTCGAATCATAATTAACCACGTGTAAAAAATGATTTTGTGAAACTGAAATTGTGTTCAGTTAGCTAAGTAGTGGTATGAATGAGCATTTTCTCAAACGAAAATGTCATAAATGAGTCAAAACTTTTAATGGATGACATAAATAAGCCTTTTTTCAAAGTTCAATGGCATATTTGAGTTTTTTCCCTTTATATAATTAATATAGGTGATAAGCCAATCATAAAAGAGGTTTGAGCATGTTTAGATCGCTTATTTTAAGTGTTTTAAAGTTAAAATAGGGGTAGCTTTTCAAACAATTTTGTAGCTTTTGGCTAAAATGAAATAAAGTACTATTAATCACTTTCTTTGTAAGCCAAAATAGCAAAAATAAGTTGAAAGTCATTAGTTAGATATTTTTATTATGACTTCTTGACTTATAATTCATAAGCCTATCTAAATAGGCTCAAAGACTTGAATTTTTATGTATTTTTCATCCGATATTCACATTGGAATTTGGTTAAATTCGAATTCTCAACTCAAAAACGAAACCTTATAACTTGACTTGGTTATTGTGGGAATTAAAGTCGATCACACGCCTGTTGAGTTGTGAAATGGGGTTTCTTTATTGATTTTTATAAATTACTTGTGTGTTTTTAGCAATTATAGTCTATTGATGAGCTCTATCGAGCCCGCTTCCTACACTCTATCTCTACCTCTTTATATATTTATCATGCATCTATTGATTGATCAGATATAGACCCCCCCCTCCTCCCCGCACCATACATGAGTCTGAATCCATGAGATACATGCAGTATCTATCGAATTTTAAAATTGAGATACAAAATTTATTTATTTAAATTAATTGGTTGGAACTGATTTCCTTAATTAGAGGAGTAATTGAGGATTTTCAAAATACATAGATAATTAATTTCATTTTATTATTCTTTGAAATAGTAAATTCATTAATATTGTTAATATAAGATAAAAACATGTATATCTTGGTAATGCAATTTGATTAAATTCAAATTATTACTCTTAAAATAATAAATTTATTAATTTGATGTATCTATATCAATATATGATGTATCCAACAAACTAAACACTTAGATACATGAGTGTCCTGCAAGTACATTCATATGTATCATAGAAGTATCTAGCATTAATTTCATGTATTTGTTATAGATATCTAGTATTAATTTTATGTATCTATATATATATATATATATATATATATATATATATATATATATATATATATATATATATATATAATATTAATTTCATGTATCTTTTATATGTATCTAGTACTAATTTGATGTATCAAGTATCAATTGCATATGTTATATCCAAAAACATGTATCTCGAATATATAGTAAGCATATACATCTAATTATGTGTATTTAAATTTCATACGTTACATCCAAAAACATGTATCTCGAATACATAATAAGCATATACATTTAATTATGTGTATCTAAATATGAAATGTAGTTGAATCACACAAATTTATGAACAAATCACGACTGTAGAGTATCTGTCGTATCATTAATATCATCGTGTTGTTAAAAATCATGTATCCGAAATTTAATGGTGGATACATATACATGGTCAGACTCCACATTATTAAAAATACAACTCAGATCTTAATTAAGATTACTACTTATTGGATACACATGTTTCAAGGGCTATATCAAAGTAATATTGGTACTACCAAATCCATGTCACGGTAACCAAAGAAAGCCTTAGAAGAACACCAGCAAACAAAACTCTCTACAATACTCCCTTTGATCCTTTTGCATTGTGGCATAACATAATCAAAACTAAGATCCATTTCTTCCGGAGACAAACAATCAAGACCCACTCTAAATTAAAGTTTTCTCTGTAGCAGTTACTTTGATTTGATCTAGTTATAAATGAACAATACAGAATAATATTTGGGTTCATGATAATTTGTCGGCCATAGTGATGATATCTTGAGAAGAAGAGAGTAGATTAGCTATTGTTGGAATGAAATTGTACTATGAAATTCCTGAATCATAAAGGAGGAGACGTAATTGAGTGATAAATATGGGAGGGGAGAATTAAGAGATAGTGGTTGATTTGGAGTGAAAGAGTTAATTAAGCAGATAATTAATCAATCCTAGTTTTAAGGTATGTGGGTATCTAATAATCTAATTGTATTTCAAATAATATATTAATATATGGTATAAAATATTAAAAGTGGTAATATATGTAATTGTTTGAAAGTAAAGATAATATTAGTATATATAGTAGTGATGTATGTCTAATAAGGTAGTTTATCCTAATTTTTTATCATTAATTATAAGATCTATAGGTACCTCTCCTCGATCCTCAAACTGTCACTATCTTTCACATGGTGAATTGAAGAATTGAATCACACATCAATATAGAGTTTGATTCATAATTTATAATTTATATATTTTATAATAATAACAAGTTAAAATTCAATAATATTATAATTGAATTTATATTTAAATATTTATAAATATTTACTTAATAGATTTTCTATTGACAAGTCCACTTTTTCAAAGCAGGGCTTCAACTCGAATCTAATCAACTCCTCAAACTATTAGGTGTGGATTTCAATTAACGCGATTCTTTTTTCAATCAATTTGGATTTCATTTTTTCATTTTTAAGTTAATAACTAGAGTATTAAAATAGATATGTGAATTTCAGTTCAATATATTTTATGTGAATAACTTATTTACATAATAGGAGTTTGAGAATACACACAAAAAAATTGAACTAAAAGTGTCTAATATAGAAACACGTATTCGATTGAAATGTGTCATAGCCCAAATATCTAAATGAAATTTACTAACAAATTTATGTCCGAGATATATTCCGCCTAAAGTTTTAATTTGTTCAAGCGCCTATTTGTTCCAATAATTAATACTTAAAACAAAGCTAACAAAGTGGTACACTTCTGCATAATGAAGTTACTTTTTAATACATAAAATTTAAATTTATAATCAGTACTCAGTAGTACTATATTATTTGCAAAAAGAAAAATAGTACTGTACTATCACAATTCCTCCATCTCATTTTATAAGTATTTATTTATGTTGGTATTACAACAACAAAGGCATTATGATTTAATTAAACAAAAATTCAAATGCTTTAAATTGAATTACTAATTTAGTAATTTCTAATTACTATTTTTCTGTTATTTCACTTAATTTATATGTGAAACAGGTCAACACGTAAGTTCATCTTCTTTAATAGGTCATAGAAAAAAAATACATAAAGCCACTTTTTTGAAATTTGTCAAACACCAATATGATTGATTAAGAATATTTGTATCTATTATTCTTGTTATAGATGAACACATAATTCTATTTGTTATAATCAAGGGCGGAACCAGCTTGGGTTAGGGGATTCAATCTGAACCTTATCCCCTTCGATAAAAAACTATATTATATATAATAGACGTTGAACCCTGTTCGGCTAGTTCATAAATATACTTCTTCATATTTTGAATTCCTTAATAAAAATCTTGACTCTGTGTCACTGATTATAATATATATTTATCTATGTAATGCAATGATGATTTTAAACTAATCAACAAAAGGTATACAAAAGCAATTTGACTTGTAAATGTTCCATTTACTTGTCAAATAACTTTATGACAACTGCTTTTTTTCAGAAGTATATATCATGTAAAATAAAGTTATGAAATCATACAGCAACAAATTAACACTTTTGATTCAAAAGCAACCACATATTGGCATACACACCATTTTTACTTTTATTAACTTGCGATATACATTAAGTTCCCACTATGCGTCGAGCGTCTAATATATGCATCTTATCTTGACTGGAAGTTGTTTTCACAGCTTGAATCCGTAACCTGGCCAAAGGTCGTCTCGCGACAACTTTTAGTGTTGTACCTAGCTACCCTTTCAACATATTTACATAAATTATGACTCAACAGTTATTCCTCCAATCTCAAGATTATCAAGTTTTTTAGGCCTCTTGTAATTCTTAAGCAAAAGAGAGCTGCATACAACACTTACTGAAGAAGCAGCCATTGCTGCCCCTGCTACCCATGGTGGCAACCGGAATCCGGTAAAGGGGAAAAGAGCTCCAGCAGCAATTGGAATGCCAAGAAGGTTATAACCAAATGCCCAAAAGTAGTTCAGGCGAATTCGACTAAAAGTTTTCCTGGAAAGATCAATAGCAGTTATGACATCTTCAAGATTGCTCTTCATTAGGACAATATCAGCTGCCTCAATAGCTATGTCTGTCCCTGCTCCTATCGCCATTCCAACGTCTGCTGCTACAAGTGCTGGCGAGTCGTTAATTCCATCTCCCACCATTGCAACAACTTTTCCCAAACTCTGTTGATCAATTAAGATGACTTAAGCACCAGCATGAAAAAATTAATAATACGCTCCAACTCGTCCCCACAGTGATGTGTCTAGATGATCATTTTGTTAGTTGGAGTTCTCAACTAACACAGTGGAGACGAGTTGAGGTGTCTAGATGTGCACTTTCAAAGTTGAAGTGCTTACCTATCAACTGAGGCCGAGTTTTGATGTATTATGTCATTTGTTAACTCAGGCAAACTTAGGCTAATTCTTTAAAAGCAAAATGTGTTTATCTTTCAGCAGATTCATGGCATCGAAATTTTACCTGCAGTTCCTTCACTTTTTCGGCTTTGTCTTCAGGTTTTGCTTCTGCAATAACATCACTAATACCAACTTCCATAGCAATGGCATTAGCTGTTCCCCAATTGTCACCTGTTACTAGCTTACTCTCGACTTTCATAGACTTAAGAAGAGAAATGACTTCACGAGCTCCAGGCTTCACTGGATCTGATATAGAAACAACTCCACTCAGTACACCATCAATTGATACAAGAATTCCAGTTTGAGCCAATTCTTCTGCTTCTGCTAGTATTTCATTGGCATCAACTGGAACGGAAACGCCTTGATCTAACATCAAGCTCTTGTTTCCAACTATTAACTTCTTGTTGTGGACAACAGCCTTCACACCATGTCCAGTTATAGACTCAAAGTCCTGGACTTCAGGCCACCGAGGGTTCTCCTCGTCCTCTCTGAACTTTTTTGCGTATTCAACAATTGCCTTGGCCAAGGGGTGCTCACTATTTAGCTGAATTCAAGACTAAGTTATCAGTTTCACGTATTGGCATGAATAAACACCAGCATTCACTATATTAGAAAAAACAAAATGTCATTCAATCTTGTGGTCTAAAACATCTCACGTGGAGTTAGAATTGAAGAGTTGCCAAAAAAGGAAAAGCCATTCTTTTTTAAATGGGCTAAAAAGGAAAGTAAGACAAACAAATTGAAGCAGAGTGAGCACCTCGTATGATCTAGCCTAAGAAGAGTCAGTAGGGGATACATATCAGAGAATTATCATGATAAATTTAGCTTAAATGACAAATGGAAGGCTCAATGAACAGCTTTATATGTTGTTTTATCAGGGCAACGGAAATATGACTAAGTTAACAAGGGTGATAGAACTAGTAGGGCAAACATCAGCAAAGAAAACACAACACAATGGGGGCTGGTAATGTACCTCAGCTGCCGCAACCAATTCGTAAAATTCTCTAAGTACCATAGATTTGAAAAGCTTTGTATTTACAACAACTGGTTTTCCCATTGTAAGGGTCCCCGTCTTATCAAACACAATGCAGTCCACCTACAGAAAACATATGATGATTTTAATTCTTATGATATGGCATTGCAGGAAGCACAGTTGAGAGGTTTCAGTGCTACCTTTTGTGCGCCTTCCAAAGCTTGCCCGCCTTTAATCAAGACGCCTCGAGAAGCACCAACTCCTGTGCCAACCATGACAGCAGTTGGAGTAGCAAGACCAAGAGCACATGGGCAAGCTATGACCATAACAGATATACCAAATTGAAGGGCAAGCTGAAAGCTATCCATAGAAGATGGAATCCAGGATTTAGGATAGCCGTCGTACTTCCCAGCTAAAAACCAGGCCAGCCAAGTAGATAAGGAGAGAAAAATAACCTGAAATTGGGATCACCAACTCTCAGAGAGTCATAAGATGATAACATAATCTTACAGGAAGCCGGTTAATACTCACTAGTGGCACGAAATATTTAGAAATACGATCAGCAAATTTTTGAACGGGAGCTTTAGCCATTTGTGCTGATTCAACCAGTCTAACAATCTGTGAAAGAGCACTCTCTGATCCAACCTTAGTAGCTCTAATATGAAGAACACCATTCTCATTCACAGTCCCTCCAATCACCATGTCGCCTTTTCTTTTGGCCACTGGCCGAGATTCTCCAGTAATCATACTCTCATTTACGTGGCTTTGTCCCCAGATGACAAAACCATCACAGGCTACTTTTGCTCCGGGAAGGATTTTGATCACATCGTTCTTCTGTATCAGTCGGCTATCAATTTCTTCCTCTTTCACCACATTTCCTTCGTCATCAAACTGTAATAATGAGGCTGTCTCAGGAGTCAAGTTCATGAGTTTAGCAATGGCCTCTGATGTCTTTCCTTTGGCCAAAACTTCAAGATACTTCCCGAGTAGAATGAAGGAAATGAGCATTGAGCTGGTCTCGAAAAAATCAGTAGACTTGAAGCTTGGAGAAGTAGCAGCTCTTAATACCGAATAGACCGAGTAAAAGTAGGCTGCATTTGTTCCCAAAGCAATCAAAACATCCATATTTGCAGAACCATGACACAGTGCTTTGTAAGAACCATAATAGAAACGTCGTCCAATGATGAATTGCACGGGAGTAGAAAGCACCCACCGCAAAATCTCTCCAATGCTAAGCATGTTCACAACTTTAATATCCAATCCATCCTTCAAACCAGGAATATACATGAAGATCATGGAAGTCAAGAAAACAGGAATTGTAAAAACCAAGCTCCAGAGAAAGGATCGACGACAGTATTCGATTTCCTCCTGTCTATGGGATTGTTCCCCACCTCCTTCAGGAAATATTGTTGCCTTGAACCTTCCAGAATCAGTTGACTCAATTACTTGAATAAAATCTCTAGGTCCTATTGTATCTGATTTATAAGAAACAGACAACTTCTTCAGCTCAGGATCAATATCAACGTCTTCAACACCTGGGAGTGCTCTAAGAGAACTTTCAATAATGCTCATGGAATTGTCAGTGTGTACTCCATCAACTTTCAGCAATATTTTGCTCCTATCTTCTCTTGTGCTAATTAATATAGCTTCAAATCCAGTATCTTCTATGGCTTCTAAAAGCTGATTGTGAGTTAATATCTGCGGATCATATTGGATTTCAGCCTCCTCGGTTGCTAATGCAACTTGTGCTTTCTGTATACCGGGGATCAATTGCAAAGCAGATTCAACAGTTGCGGAGCAAGAAGTGCAGGTCATTCCTTTTATACGTATCCGGCAGACTTGGGAAGTTTTCTCATTTGTCTCCTCGGTAATCAAGGTAGCCTGGAACCCAACATCTTCTATTGTCTCACGGATTATTTCCTCCTGCACATTTGAGCAAGAAAACTTAGAAACTACAACAAACCACTCCTCTAAAGATCCAACGACTTAAAGAATCGTAGCTATAGTATTTCTTTGTGAAGTGGAAGTACATTGTTCATGGCTTTCTCAGTATTAATGTGGCGCGTGATGATATGAACAAACTGCAATGCTACAGAAGTCCGGAAAACAAAATTGATTTCTACTTCTAGATTTACTGCTGCATAATGCAGGGTACTTGGTACTAATATGTAAATGCAGCTTTAACATAGTACTAATCATAATCTTTTTAGACCAACATCATTAATTTTGAATGTTTATTGAAACAGATGAATCTAATTCCAAATAAAGCTCATTGCTCAAAGCATATTCAACCATGCTAAATTCAAATTAGACAGCCATAAAGCACAAAGTCACAAGTGATAGAAGGACAAGTAAAGTTTCTGGAGTTCAAAGAGTTGGAGAACCATGTACAACGACAATCTTGACAATTCGATGAGTCATTCGATGTATATTTTCTTGCACAAACTCAGGTTGAAAAAGACTAGACAACAGAATTTCACGTCATCCAACACAACCAACATTCAGCCAAAAGTAAAAACTTAAAGGAAGAGCAAAGGGGAAAACCTTGACTTTAACAAGTTTGCTTAGAACATACATAACATATTCAATTGAGTAACTCACTTCTATATAAACAACCACGATGCTTAGAACATACATAATATATTCAATGTGGCTTACTTCTATAAAAATTATAAATAAAATATAAAGGGAAGCTTCAAACTCTACCTAATTAGTTCATATGATCAGCAAAATACAGAAAAAACTTGAAAAAAGAAACAAATTTGTACTCTCTTACAGAAATAAGTTTGTCTTTTGGAAACAGTCTCTCTACCTCCACGCAGTAGGGGTAAGGGTCTACGTACACTCTACCTCCTCAAACCCCACTTATGGGATTACACTGGGTATGTTGATGTTGTTGTTGAAATAAGCACAAAAGAATGGACTCACTAACATAGCTAAGGCAAAAGATAACTCAAGCTCTGTTATTCAAGAATCTTAAACCTTGATTCACAGCCTCGGGGGGACAGAGTTATCTGATACCTATGCTCGCGAGAGGTAGCAAGTACCCATAAAATTAGTCGAGGTCCATGCAAGCTAGCTCAAACACCACAATTATCAAAAACAAACAAAAATCTTAAACCTGGATAACCCCTTGTAGAATTTCTACATAATGAGCCTAAATCATTACCAGAATCCACTAAAATTTCCATAAAGATCAAATTTTTACGTTCATTCAGCAACTAAAAATCTCAAAATCAAGAATCAGATTACTCACATTGACAAAAGTGGGGTAAAAAATAACTTGAGCTTTGTTATTCAAAACATCAACTACAGCTTCTTTAATCCCAGAAAGTCTTTTAATTGCCTTTTCTACAGAACCAGCACATGCAGAACAACTCATACCATTAACTGAAAAAATTGCCTTTTTTTCTTCACCAGAAGATACAGAAAAACCCTTTGGGTATTTGGGCATTGATGGATAATGTGCCTTTGAGGAAAAACCTCCATAACTGCTCTCATTTCTTAGACATGAAAGTGAAAGAAGCTTAACAGTCACCATGGATAAAAGACGAAGCTTTTTCTTTTTTCTTTTTTTGGCTCTCTGTTTTCGATTCTTGAATTGCTTTTTTTAGGAAAAAAGAAAAGAGTTTGGTGTCATCAAGGAAAATGAAATTATGTAATATGAAACTTGAATGATAAAATAAAGGTATTTTAAGGGTGTGTTTGGTAGGAAAAGAAAATATAATTTTGGATAATAAGTGGTTTTCATATTTTGGCACATAAATAAATAAATAAAACAATTACCCAAAAAAAATTACTCTAATCTAGCAAAACACAATGGGATGAGGTGCGTGGGGATTTAGGGGTAGCAGGGGTAGAATAGTCAAAGGATAGGATGTGAGCGTTGTAATCCAGCAAAACACTATGAAATGTATGCGTGAGGATTTAGGGGTAGTTGGGGTAGAATAGTCGAGGGATGGGATGGGGGACATTGGATGTAGTGGTGAATTTGAGATTTTCACAAAGGATGTTCAAAAAATAAAAATAGTGCTAGGGATTTGCTCTTAAAACTTTAAATCACTGAGTCAATCTTTAGTCTTATGTTCAAGAAGTTCGAAAAGTCTACATATATACACTAAAATAATATATATATATATATATATATATTGTAATTTTTTTACCGAGGGAGTCAAATGAACACCCTCGCCCCCTGCTAGATCCACCCCTGATCGGATGGATGGAAAAGGAATAGTGAATATGAAATTTCATTTATGAAACTTGATTTCCCTATTAAGAAAGTTATTTCTCACATTTTTAAGAAATTTATTTATTCTAAAAAAAGCTATCCTTTAACAAATTTAACCAATCAGAAAATTTTGAAAAATAGAAAACTTTGTACCAAACACACCTTTAATACTTTTGCTTGTAAAGGATGCAACTTCAATATATTTAGTTGGTGTAATAAAGTTGAGGGCTATCGATTGGTGGATATCACAAGATTATTGTGTGATCAATATGCGTATTTAATGTCTAATATTTAATCAATTCGCAAATTGTTATTTTTTCAGATGCGTATATGATAAAATTTGTTATAGTGTAATAACTTGCACATAACACTGAGTGTCTCCACAAACTTCATGCGACGAGTTCAATCAAGAAATTATATAAACAAAATTAAATTAAGATCCTCCATTTGAAAGATTAATAATAACTGCTCAGCCAACTCGATCACTGATGCAATTATATACCCATTCTTTTTAATATTTGTTTAAGGACAAATTAAATTCTGAATTAAAAGTTAAAACTTTCTTATTTTTATTTTTCAAATTCAATTTAGCTTTGCCTTAAAGCGGCTAGGAATGGTGGGCCCATTTCCGTTGCTTTCGCGGGGAATTTGAATTTGAAGAATGAGCTTCCAAAGTTTCAAACATACATGTTGTGTGTAAGTCCCTTCATTTCAATGATCTATTTTGACTTGGTGCAAAATTTTAAAACGTAAAAAAAATAATTTGAATCGATTTTTTAATATTGTGATTTTAAACATGACACGTGGAAAGTTGAAATTAAAAATTTACTAAAAAAGAAAAGGATCATTTTTTTTAAAAATTGACTAAAAAAAAAGTAAATCAAACAAATTGAAACGAAGTAACGTTTTGAACTCCCATTCATTTAATTCAACCACGTCACCAAGTTAATGTATATTGAAATCATCTTTAAAAAGTCAACCTATTGTGGTTGTTGTTATGTGAAAATGAGGCAAAAATATAAATGAATTTAGAATTTTATAGCACCATAAGTCCACAACTGTAATATAAATGAATATATACATAATTTTACTTGGGATGAGATTTTTTTTTCGAAAACTGTTGGATTAATAGGAAAAATCAGATTTGAAGATTTTTTTTGCTTCTTCTAACAGTGTCATCCGATAGCTTATACGCACGTCGACTATATATTATACGCACTATGTAAATATTTATGAGTTTCACATAATTCTACACTTGGCTAAAAAAATAATTTTTATATTATGAAATCTACTTAATATATCTAAAAAAACCATATTTAGAAAGAAACAGTTTGTTTCACCTTATTTTTAGTCAAATAAAAGAGGAATTATGTAGTAATTGAAACTATTAGTGATTCGTTAAACAAGTAGCACCAGTGGTCTAGTGGTAGAATAGTATCCTGCCACGGTACAGACCCGGGTTCGATTCCCGGCTGGTACATTTGAGAGCGATGATGTCAGCTTGCACAATTAGTGAACGATTGGGTCGTCACACACATCTGATTCAAGATGAAACAATGTGCATCTGAGCTCTTTCTTTTATCCGTTTTCGTTTTTCACCCGAGTCCAATATTTATACTGGGGTTCGATTAAATTTAGAATCGCTCCATTTTTTTATCCCACCCCAGTCTACGTTGCTTCCTCTTATGTGGTCGTAAATTATGTTTCATTGTATGTAAAAAAAAAAAAAACTTGTTCTAATTTTATGTGGTTCATTTTTATTTTTTTTCTTTCCTTCAAAGTAATCTAATATAGCTTAACTATAGGGATGGCTATTAAGCATTAACTATACTAATTTTGTCAGTTTTACTAAATAGAATAATTAAAATGCACGTAAACAATTTGAATATCACGTTGTATTGAGGTAATAAGTAATTATGATCACAATGATAGTAATGTTTAAAAGTAGAGATTATAGTATAATCTAGCAAGTAATTATAGTACGTGTAAAAATCATTGTCATAGAAAAAGGAAAAAAGTGCATGACATTTTTTTCAACTATATCTTTTAACTATGATAGGGTGATTTGCCACTTGAAATCTATAGTAGTGCTATACGTACCCCCCACTCTAAAAAGTAAAAAGTATTGACCTTTTCATATTTTGCTGTGTGTTTTTCATATTATACACGTTTAAGTCTTGATTTTAGGTGGTTAACAGTTAACACATTGTATGCCATGTTAACATCTTGTATTACAATGTATACATTAACTTGGATTTAGATATTTAATAGATATAACTCTTAGTTTAGATGTTTAAATGAAAAAATTTAAAAAAAAATTGAGACATCGTCCACATATTCAATTAAAAAAAATTGTCCCCACTAGAGAGAAATATATTGGTGCTAGGGTTGCTTGAATACCTAAATCAACAATAATAAATTATATAAGCTAAAATCCATTTTACAAGCTAAAATTTTTTATTGGCATTTGATATCTATTTTATTGATTGTCGTATTATTTATTATTTTTATTATGGATTTTTTTCACAATTATTTTCTACGTGACTTCTTTATAACTATATATTACCTTTTCATATTCAATTTGTTATGTTTTTTTTAAGCGGAGGGTCTTTCGAAAACAATCTTTCTACCCTCATAAAATATGGATACGATTTGCATACACATCAGGTTTTTCAGACTCGGTTATGAAATTACACCGAGGATGTTTTTATTTTCAGTATTTGCACTAGCTTGCTTAGTTTTTTTATTTGATTATTTAATAATTTCTACTTGTTTGGATAAACAACTTCATTTTTTTTTTGTATTTCCATTTATAAATACAACCCACTCCCCCAAAATAAAATATTTTTTTAGGCGGCTCGCCATTATATTATTTTATGCTTTCCATCCTTAACATCTGCAGCTGTATTTTATTTTTTGTTGGAATAAATAAATTAAATATTTCAGTCATGATGACATAATCCAAAGACAATTTTTTCAAAGTCATATAACGGGGTCCAACACGTGCACTTAATTTTTTCAAATCGTTTTCATTTAATTTTATTTTACTACATAGTTTATTTTTTGACCTTTTTCTTAATTTTGGCATAATAATTACCAAACTTAGGTTTCTAGAAATGCAGTTATTTTAAGTCTAAGAATGAACGCTATTCGAATATTTATGGCATCAAAGCAATTTCATTTACAAACCAAGACAATTACGATAGAAGTCTTGGAGCAACGATATATTTATTTTTGTATAACGTGTAGTTAGGTTTCGAGTTCAAGATGAGGAAATAGACAGTAAAACTTGTATTAGGGTAGGCGATCTACAATCCCCCCTGGGCTATGGATACGGTCAGTGGCAGAGCTAAGATTTTCATCAAAGTGGTTCAAAATATGAAAAAGTTGAAGACGGTTTAATATTTATTATATATGTAATTTTTCATCAAAATGAATTCAGATGAACTCCTCGGTCCTACCTGACTCCGTATCTGGGGCAGCCCTTTCCGAACCCTGCTAGAGAAAATTGCTTTGTACACTACGTTGGTGTGTTAAAATAAAACTAATAATAGTGCATTTGGGAAATTATTACTAAAAGAAAAAATTGAATAAATATGGACCAGAAAAAAAGATGAAAAATCAACCACGTTATTGACCTTAAAATTCTTTTTTAGGACTATATATGTTTTTTAAAAAACATTATGCATTTACACTAAAATCCGTTTTCCTTGTGTTATATATATGTCAAAGTCCAATAAAACCAAAGATTGATATTCAAACTCATTAAAATTATATAGACTTTATTTTATTTATGGAAAAATTAAAGTAAATGTAAAGGTTTTGATAGTTACATTTAGCTACTAATATCTTCAAAATATGAGAAATAAATCAAATTTTATGATGAAAAACATAAATTCCCTTTTAAAATTATTTAGGATGCCATTGTCAAATTTGATGATTTGATTCCCACTAAACTAAAAGTCATAATTTGATTAATTATTTTATAAGTCTTTGCTGCGCAATAAAATTAAAATAATTTCACTAATTATTAATGTTTGATATGTCATCATTTTTTCTAATTATTTATACTTTAATTGTCATCATCATATATCAATATAAGTTGTCGGTAGCATAAGGAAGAGAGATATCAATTCATACACCAATAATAGTATCATATATATTTTTAGTTTTCAATTTGATTTTCGGTATTTGTTTTGAGTAATTAATTAATTTAAATTTGTGTATGTGTAAAATCTATTTTAGAGAAAATATTTTCTCTTAAAATTTTCTCTATTCTCAATGCTCAAATTCAAAAACTTCAGACTCTATA